CAGTTTATCTCGTAATTTTAGGTCACAGATCGCCGTGGACCGAACAGTAATGTTTTTTTTTGACGTAAGAAGAAACAACCGCGAGTTACGTTGGACACATTAAATGAATATATAAAGATATTTTAGAATCTCGTAGTTGTCATGGATTGAATATTTTACGTAACAGAATGATCATTATATGCTGAAAAGACGGCTCTTTTAAGGAGCGCGAAATCGCGGTGGGTGTTACAGGCGGCAATGGGAATTTCCGATTTCGAAAATCCTGGCTGCGCGCTGGCAGTGGTGGTCATCTATTCTCTACTAATTTATTTCTAATTCCAAACACAACAATATGGTACACATAATAACAATATGGTTCACATAAATTAATATACAAATATACTGGTAGGTAGTAGAATACCTCAGGCTCAAATATTAGAATTTTTAAAGGCATAATGGATTTTCGATTGTTGTTGCCTGTATTGCCAATAAATTTTTATTACTCTCAGAAAATATACACAATTATCTGAATACAAGTAGTATTTTTGTCAATAGACTTGACTATTATCGTAATATCATGGTACCAATGATAGAAAGCGTCAGACAACTCCTTGGCTATCTTTTCATATGGTCATTTGTACAAAGTGAATAATTTTAATAAACTGACTGTGTCACAAGTTGCTTTTATTTTTTATTGATAGCTATGAACTATCAATTACTTTGTGTACATATACTGTTGGTTTGTGGCTTCATTCTGATATTTCTATTGAAGCTTATGTCCTAATTTACTGGGTTTTAATCAACTAAAACAAAAATGTGTTATTATCGATTTTAGAATGTATTCGGAATTCCAGATTCGAAAACATTATTTTAGAATGTATTCGGAATAGTTTAGTATTCGGAAATGGCCATCCCTGTTGGCAGGTAATTTATTACTGATCTGATACACAAACTTGGCACTGTCGAATGATGATTAGTGTTTAATTTATTTTCAGGAAAAAGGGAAGATAACCCATTATCAGCTGCTTACATGTCCCATCGATATTTGAATTTTCGCCATCCCCAGAGAAGAAGAGAATAGTTAGAAAAAGGAGGATTTTGAAGAAAGGCAAAAGGCAGGATCATTTCAACAAATTCTGTTAATTTGTATGCGTTGCAATATTAATTCGCAGTTGTTAGCATAAACATTTAATGTGTCTTTCGACTAGACCTACCACACTTTAAAAAAAAGCCGCCTACACCCCTTTTCACTAGAACCATACTGTAAAATATTTGATAGAAATTACCCCCGAGGCATCATATCTTCCATTCGAAAGGGCTGTGGAGGCAGATACATTTTTTACTCTAAATTATGGAATGTTACTTCCAGGTTATCTTATCCTTGCTTATAGATATCTTGAGGTTAGTGACTCCAACTGACCCATGCATGTCACACTGAAAATTCTCTTGTGTACACATAAAATAAGGCTGTTGGAGCCTTCAGACCTTGAAAACAGTCGAATCTGAGCACGATGGATTCATGTGAAACACGTACCGTAATACACGTAATATGCATTTAGAGGCAAATATATCCCATCCTGAGCAGCACCGATCCACAACATCCTGCCTATGGAATCAAAACATTGGACAAATTGGTGTACTGTGCGCATTCACAAATTTTTGCGAATCAAGTGTGCCTTTTGACTAAAGAAAATTTAGCATTGAAATGGTCAATCTCAATATCAACCTAGTATCTGCAGATAAAACCAATTGTTTTTTAAAAATACATTTTTGATGTGCTTCATTTTTTAAATATAATTTATAATTACTGTAAAGTGTGTGATACATTTGGTACCATGAATACTATTTGCAAATTAGCTTGGGTTACACCTCTCTCAAATAAAAGTTTAGACTCTTAAGTCGTATCTCTTAATATTCTTTAAACAAAAGGTTGCGGCTAGCCGGCTACCCATCAGAATTTCCTTTCAGATCACAAAGTCGCAATATTATGCCTCGCTTAAGTTTCATTGGCAACTGTATCTGGTTGTAGTATCGGTGTCCAACGTTAGACTGAAACCTTCACGACCAGACCCACCGAAACAATTTTTTTTTTCTTGATAGGGTCGTCTTGAAGTTGATTTCGTTAAAGCACAATGGACACTTTATCTCCACCAATCCACAGTAATGACAAGTTACTTTGTCATTACGATAAGCATCAATAAATGGATACTGAGGATGTATTATCAAGTCACGCAAGCTGAGGTCTTGTGCCACTGTGGTCTTGTTGCAACTTATACTTTGCCATCCATCTATTCCATGGTCGCACCCATATCTGTAAGATAATGGATACAGATAAGAGTTTTCATAAAATCTAACGATCAAGGAGTGTGAAATTTATGTCCATATCCCACCACAGCCACTAGTCGTAAATGAATTTGATTCCGGGTAGCATATCTTTTTTACCAATGACAATAAAAAGACATTTTGAATCAGTTGTACAAGCACCATTAGGATAGGATTTATCTGGGGGGGAGCCAGTTATTTGTTTTCAGAAGCATGGACTTGGATGGTGGGGAATGGTCGTAACCGATCAGCGGTCATGTGAACCACCCTCGGTGGGAGTGGAGCTGCAATCCTCTATCACATAACTATCCCCGCATGGGATTGAAACCTGTGAAACTACCAGGGTGATCAGAGATGCGGTGGCGAGCGTATTCCTAGATAGCGAATTCAATTGAATTCTGGTTATTTTTTGCATGAACACTGGTGTTAAACTTTAGTTATCTATTCAACCTTTCACAATTAGTAATAGATTACCTGCTAAGTAGGGAAACAATACCTTACAGCAATTGATTATTAATTCCTTACTGTCTTACACAAGTCCAGTCTGCAACTGCAACGAGGCCCACGCCTAGGCCTACTAATAACAGTAGTTGATTATTAGATTAATTCCTTACTGTCTTACACAAGTCAAGTCTGCAACTAGGCCTAGGCCTACTAATAGCAGTAGTTGATTATTAGATTATTGATTTCTTACTGTCTTACACAAGTCAAGTCTGCAACTGCAAGTAGGCCCACGCCTAGGCCTACTGATAACAGTAGTTTGTCATCTGCTTTCCATTGAAATGAGGGAGCTTGTGAATATTTAAAGAAATTGATAACGCACACTATCACCACATTATCACTCACCATCAACGAAGTGCTGTCCGCAAACAGTGAAACACAAGTAAGATGGCTTCTGGACTTGACACCAAGCAGTTCTGCCAATACAGCAATAGGCAATAGATGATATCCACATTGCGCGACGTTCAGGATCTTTTGAAATCAGTGGAATATTACTGAAGATCCATTTCGTTGTCTATACTATACTTACAGCCAACAGAACAACGAAATACCCATTTTCAACAGCCAAACAAAACGCAAACGTATAATCCGACTTGCAACTGACAGGAGCCAAATGGACGTTTTTGTTTTATTGCCGTCCAGTAACAATGTCACGTGACCCGTGCAAGTCCTCTATATATTTACGGTTATGCCATTGAGAGTCAATAATTTGCCATGGTTCAATTTTTTGATCGTAGCCGGATTTAAGTTAATTTGTATGACGCAGTTATGTGACGATATATTTTTTTCATGCTTGTGGTATACAAGATATATTTTTTAAATATCCTGGCATGTCCTTATAAAAGTCAGAAAAATTAACCCGATTACTGGATCAGCTGTCGACCTCAGAATTAATCAAACGGAACGAACGTTGTCATAGTAACACGTTGCTGCGATTCCTCTTGTAAGTGGTTTTTGCTTCCTAAAACCAGGTACAGCGAACCAATACCGGTACTGGTACATTTTTTGCTGTAAATACTGCAGTACTGTGTTTAAAAGCTTTTCATATGGCTGCTAAACTACCATTTAGCCAAATGTGATGAATAATCCAGCCAATGTTAGGCTACTTGTTATTGCATTTGTAGGATTCTGGCATTTGTGCATTCAATGAGTTTAATTAACGTTAGTCAGTTAGTTAGAATCTATAATCGGCATGTATGATAAAAAAAATAGCAATATTTAGAACGTCAAGGAACCTATAATTAGATTTAGAAAATCGCAGGGAAAATTTTTGTAGATAACTGTGGAATAGAAGGGATTCTGTGATTGTATTTGCCAAATTTAGAAATTATACATAACTTATTCAGATATTGGTACCGGTACTTCAGACGAAAAAGTTTCAAAATCCTCCTACACTACACACAAATATAAAATAAAGGCTTATACATAGAGCAAAATATTATTTGAAGTTTACATCGCATAACCTGTACCTGTATATTACTCACTCACTTAGCCAATACCATCCACATAAAACAGTAAAAGCAAAAATCAAGCCAGAGCAATCAGTGAACTAAAGCATGCCCATAATATAAGGGTTCTTGATCTGACTGGTAGACTAACTAATAAAGTACAAACAAAATATTTGGACACACTATAGCTTTGCTCTACATGATGATATCTGTTAACAATCTTCAGAGTTTCATCTCTCTGTTACTCTGCACCCAAAGAAATTAAGAAGGCAGGAGGGCAGTATTTTAAGTATTTTATTTGTTAAGGTGTTTTTCAATGATAATTTTAGTTCACTATAATTTACAAAAATTACATGATTTCGAAGTTTGAAGTAATGTCATTACGACTGATTGAGTATTCAATCAGACTCAGACATTCATTTTTGTCATGTAGAAATCAATAGACGATATATTGCAAGAAATAAATACTGTAAAATACATTATACAGCAAAATAAACACAATTATTGTAGTTGACAGGGGGTCCAGAAAGACTCGGCAAGTCATATAGTCATCGACACCTTGTTGATTTTGAATAACAGCAAAATAGTGAAGCAAATATAGCAAAGCAACAACTTAATATGAAACCTTTGAAACTTGTAAATACACAATCATAAAAATAATATATCATCAAATGCATTTATTCAAGGCTGTCCAACGTTCATTTAAAATGAAATTAGCTACTACATCTCATTAACTTAATATTTTTTCTAGTAAAATTGCTAACACTTTTTAATGGTATTTCAACTAATTTTAAATGCAGTCTGTTTGAGCCTATGATAGTTTTAGTCATAATAATGTCATCACGTAGAAACCCTTTTCCATTTCCTCAACTGCAAAATGATGATGATTTTGTGGGTCAAAGAGCAACGCAGAAGAGTCCTTTCAGAATTTCTGCATCCGCTGCTCAGCAATCCAATCCTTGGAATCGCTTGAATCATATCAATACTCTTGCAAGCAGTCGACGAGAAGTTTACCATTCTGATCCACGAGCTCCAAACGACAGTCTTGATTTTGTTTTGAAATCTGGATATGACCATCACAATGAATTTCTACGAGGAAACAATGAAACTTTAGTTCAGGGAGAAACCGTAACAACTAACCACGGCAGAGTATTGAAGAATCGTGTTGTTGAAGTTCCACCACCTTTTGATCCCTTATACCCACCATTGGCACGAGCGGAAATGTCAAAAAAAGACAGCATTAATTGCGTCGACGGAGCAATACAAAGTCATCATAGTGCTGCAACGAACAGGGGATATTCACGGCGACACGATGGTGGATTTTATTCGATTTAAATGTGAAATCTTTTTTTGTTATAAAAATGATTCAGTATTGCTATTCTTATGTTTATTATAATTTCTTTAATAATTGTCTTTTATTAAGGATAAAAAATTAATCAAAAAAAAAAACCTCAAAAATTTTTTAAACATAAAAGAGTTAATTTCAATTTAGAACTTGATTTTTTTGCACTCTTTTATTCAAAAAATGATAATTGAATTTTTGCAAACTGTCAAATTTTTCAGCTGATCAAATTAATTCCTGTATATATAAATACTCTTCACTTCCCCACTTTATTTTTAAGCCTTTTTTCACTTATGGAAATATCTATTATTTCAAAAGTTTGTTAAGTTTGTCACAATGTTTATGTAAACAAATACATTTTAATGTGTAATTTTCATGTCTCATCTCACGTGTGTTATTACTGCTTAATTTAAATTGTGATAAAATCAACTTTTCTAATGAAAATATATATGAGGGGCACAGTAAACAGTACAGTAAAGCAGCGCTTTTAATATTGATATTGCTGCTTGTCATCAATTTGTGAATTTGGAAAACAATTTTGAATATATTTCTGATGAAGATATGCCATTTATGTACAGTTCATTCTATTTCTTCAACTTCACTGACTTACTTCAACGGCATAATTTGAAATATTGTTTTTAAACAGAATTTAAGTTTTTTTTTAAATAATACTAACAATTTTCATTTCTTTCATAGTTAAAAAAAATATTGGTATCAATAGATTTTGTCTGTGATTAAATTTGTTAGATGAATTTAATTTCTTCACTCGCCTTTTCATATGTTAACAAAATATAATGATAGAATTTCTTGATATTTTGTTTCGTCAATTCTGAGTTCAATTTGTATTGTAGAATATTGTATCATCTGTTTTAAATTGATGTTTCTTAGAATCTTAAATCTGTATAAACCTCTAGAATCTATGTGCATATAATCTATTCTAAAATATGCCTCGAAGATCTTCCATGAAACCGATTAATCTGGATGAAGAAGAGGAGGAAGAAGAAGATGCTGCTTTTACTGCAGAAGAAGCTCAGATGAGAGCTGCACAATTACAAAAAGAATTAGAAGAACAAAATAAATTTGATTGTCTTTGTGACGGTGAGATTTTGGCTATATTGTTAAAAGTATATTCAATATCTTCACCAATCTTACATTATCCCATTGTCACAATAATGTCATGACACCAATTTTTAAAAATTAAATCCCAACTCAAATTATGTTGGTGCATTGCGCTAATTACCAGCATCAAACACACAGTTTTATTATTTTATGGGATGGTTTTGTTTTTGCTAACAGCCCCTACTTGATTGTCACTGTTTTGACTTTTGGTCTTTACAACATAGACAAATATAAAAATTTGAATGAGAAATAGGCTTCAAGTATTGTGATATATATTTGAAACCAGTTTATGTATGGTCAACATTTATTATTTAATTTTCAACTACATGTAGTTCAAAGCATGAAGTTACTAGTTTTCATATGATCCAGTTTTCTCCTTTTAATAAATTATAAAATGGTAATTTTATCAGGTGTAAACAGTGCGATATCACTGGTTGATTCTGCATTTATTGGATTGCTTGAATTGAAAGATGAACTTGTAATGCATGGTTTACCTCCAAGTCTTCTTGCTTCAGTTATTCTGACAACGGGAAGAATGTATAGAAGGTGAGATATAAAAAGCATTTCTAATTAACGAAATCCCCTCACTAATGTATAAAGTCAGCCAAAACATTTTAAAAAAAAATTTTTGGGCCATGTTCACAACATGACGTGAGTACTTCTAGTTGGCGTGGCGCACATGTCATTCAAAAATTATGTCACTACAACGTCACAGTAACGTAATAATGCCCTCACACTATACTAATTGTCATCCAAGACGCGCAGACAATCACCCAAAATCGAACAATCTATTTCTCTCGTTTCCTCGTCGTAACGATCCCGATATGAGAGAGATCGCTGCCGTTAGTGAGTTCTTCATCGTCGGCCCAGAAGCCATTTCGGGCAGTTGTAGGTACACTTTGGCAAGCTCTTTGATGTGATTGTGAGGTCGTAGTGTCGTAATCCTTGGATGATGAAGCCAGGTGGGGGTTAGGAATAACTTATGCAAAAATGGTTGTGCCTCGCCAACTAGAAGTACTTACGTTGTTTAGTGAACATGCGCCTTTTTTCTAATTATGGGCAATTTGTATTCCAGTTGTAATATGTGTCCTACGAAGTATTCTTTTCAACACTAATTGATGCCATTATTTATTTATTCTCAGTATTACTGATCTTCACACACCAATTCGTGAACTCACGAGACTAGTCAATGTATATTCAGTACCATGGGAGCAGAAGAGTGAACAGCTGAAGAAACTACACACTGGTGAATAAATATAATTTTATTGTTTTAGTTATTTCTAATTGTTTGGTAATGGAAGAGCAATTTTAATCAAATAGCTATTGAATATATGATGATTTGAGATATGTATTTGAAAGGTGGCTAATTGGAATGGCTTGTAGCTGAACTCTTTCCCTTTGTATGTAATAACTGCAGGAATACTGCAATTAAAAATAAAAGAATATATTGAACAGTTCAAATGTCTTGTATCATATTTTCAAAATTTCATTCAGTAACATTTCATGTGGCCAAAGTTAGATTTCTTCACACAAGCAGTTTACAACAATGATACTTGAATGAACTTCGTAAATCTTCGATTCAGGACTTTTGAACCTCTTACTTTATTGAAGCATGTACAATCTAGATTCAACTTACGATTCAGTTTATATTTTTTCGTATGATTTTGATGATTTACGTGCTCCTCCATTTAGCCTCTAAAGCTGACATGGGCAAGCTACGACCCAGGGGTCAAATCTGGCCTGTTTGGTAACTCAATCTGGCCGGCCTGATGCCTTCACAACCAAACTAAAACCAAATTTTGATGTTTAACTAAAAAATAGCTCAAGGAATTTGTTGAGATTGAGATTAAATTTAGTTTTGGCACATGCTTACTGTTTTCCGCTTTTGCTTTTGTAACACTGTAATTATTGTTTATGAAATGTAACTTTTTACGTCACACTCACATGGCTCACCAGTCTAGGTAGGCAAAATTTCTGGCCCCTGGTCCAAAAACCTTGCCCACCCGTGCTCTAAAAAGTCATATTCAATATTTAATCAATTACTACTAAAAATTGTCATAAACAAACAGCTATAATAACAAAATGCCTTAATCATCGAATTATATTTCATCATCTGCCCAGATTATGAAAGCAAACAGAGACAGCTAAACATAGCGGTACGTAAATTGCAATTAATTGACACTCAAGCAAGGAGGTTGGAAAGAGAAAAAATTATAAACAACTGGGAAAAAGTTTTTGCCAAGGTGGGCATCCTATTGCTAAACATTCTATTGGTTTAAAAAATATATTCATATTGTTGATTGTAGTGCTCATTTCACAAGCAGCCCTTATTTTTGTATTGTTGCTAATTTGTAGTGAATCTTACTTTGGTCAAAATTCTATAAAAAATAAGTATAGCATTGAGCGTTATTCACACACAAGATTTTTGTGAGGAATTTCTTGTGGTAACTTTTTTATTGAAATTTTGAGAATTTACTGCATTTTATGCTTTCAAGCTTGGAGTCACATCTTCATGTTTCTATGTTGTCACCATATGTAAAACAACATTCTTACAGTCATTAAATCTTTTTTCCCAGGTATCAAGTGCAAAAACTCATGGTAGAAGATGGAAATTCATGATTGAAGCATTCAAGAAAAAAGTTAAGGAGGGGTGAGTAGTATTTATGATTATATTATATTATACTAGATCAGCGATTTTCAAAGTAGGCGTAATTAGGCCTACCCCCCTAAGGGTAAAAAGGTAAGATCATATTTGTAGTAAAACCTCATTTGTTTGTATGCCATTTGTAGAAGGCTTCGAAAACATGATTCATTCAATTGTGATGTAATATTGATGTGCTGGAATCTATTTTGTTAGAAGAGCAAATCTTTCCAGTCATGAGTTGGGCTCGTTGATAAGAAGTCAATTTAGTTCATCCATGGATATTATATCATGTCATTTCATTTCTAACAACTTATTTGGTGGAAAAAGGGGTTTTAGATCTGACACTATTGCTATCAAAATAAAGGAATCACTTTTCTATTTAAGATTTAAGATTGTACCTGACCAAAATAACCCAACATTCCCCAATTCTTTAGTTTTTTCATTATTATTATGATACTTTGACACATTTCAGTATACATTATTAACTACCTAATCGGTACAAAAACAAAAGTGCGACTTGTGCACAACACTATCTGAGGATCTATTGAAGTGGAATTATTAAAGTAGTTTTTATGCATAGTGAGAGAGGAATAAATAGTTTTAAAATAGACTAAGGGAGGAAAAAATAAACGAAAAGGGTTAAACTGTCGTAACACAAAGCAAAAATTATCAACTTTCACAATATAGATTACTGCTCAATAAACAAGTCATCTGCTATTTTCAGAGCATTATTCAGTGATATAGAAGTTGATGACGATGACGATGATGATAGTGAAGAGAGTGAAGGTATGATATATTTGGAGGAGTTATACTTTATATCATTTGTATCACATAATTATAAGCAAGAAATTCCCTATGGCTTTCTCCACCAGAATTCTTTGCTTATAATTATTTTCTTTTGGGAGAATTCTGTTCAGGGTAATCAGACGAACACAGAAGCATGCGATGGCTTTTTGTTTTTAAGAAATAATAAGATAAGCTAAACATTCGGTACTCCCGTAGTTTGTGAACCAAGATGGCGGACACTGAAACATAGTATGGTGTACCAGGTTAAGGTTAGGTCATAATTATATTTCAATTTTCCTTATATCAATTCTATTACGAGTTTGGAGTTTAGCCAGTTGACTCCCGTAGTATTTGTAATTCGATGCTTATATTTCTCAATTATAGTCCAGTTAATAGGCTTGATACCAATCCTAATTTTGCAAAATCTGAAGTTGCTTTATCTGGATATATATTTGCAATTTTTAGATAATGCTGTTGACATTGTCAATATATTTCTTTATTGACCTCACATAATATGTACATAATTATTGCTTATGTCTTATTGCTTAAAGTGCCTGTGGAGTGAATTTCCCACTAAAGACTTCTCTTGCCTGAAAATTATTTATATATTGCTCTATCAGTATAATCCAAACCGGCTTCCCTTGTTGTGGTTGCTGAGAATTCCCCTTCAGTTACCATGGCTTTGCGGCGTCGTGCTTGACTGCAATTTCTTTTTTGTTACTGTGTTCAGCCGCGCATGACGCTGCGAGACAAAACTGACATGTTGAATCGCCGTAAACGCGTCTTTTTGCCTTACTCGAAACCAATGTGACACTCAATCACTTTGCTCGATACGATGGATATTTCTTTTCCGCCGTAAACGCGTCTTTTTGCCTTACTCGAAACCAATGTGACACTCAATCACTTTGCTCGATACGATGGATATTTCTTTTTCTCCCATTTAAACATTTCTCTCCCAACTCTCTCGAGTCCATTCATAATTTTAAATTTAAACATTTCTTTTTATACTTACTCTCTCTCGTTTCGATTTACGTTTCCAAATTTTCCTCTGTACGTATTTAAATCTAGCTAAATTATTTGACGTTTTTTGACGTCATCTGCTGCTGAACTCACCATTTATGGTGTCGCTGACACGATGACTTTACAGTCTTTCGCGACTCCTCGTTAATTGTATAATGCTGTATTCAAATATGGCATGAAACTTTGTGCCTTGAAACCCAAATCTATTGGTGAGATTTTACTTATAATTGGAAAGACAATAACACCATTATCCAAAGAACCAAATACGTTTATGTCTATACCGTGCATTTTGAAATGTTACAAAAAGTATCTTTGAAAAAAAAGTTGATATATTCTAAAGTGAGCTACTGCTTAAACTTGTTTTATCTCAGAAGTGCAAACATGGATATTAATTTACGAACCTTTCTCTTCCGGCTTCTTATCATTATCTTTCTCCTCAGACACTTTTTTTTCTTCTTCAATCTCTTCAATCTGACTTTGATGATTCATCATTATGTTTCATGCACGACGAAAATATATTATCTGAATCTGAATCTAACACCTAACCTGGTACATATACTACGTTCCGGTGACCGCCATCTTTGTTACATACTATGGGAATAATGGGAGTACCAAATTTTCAACTTTATTTTAAACTCCGCTATGGTACAATGAAGTGGCGACACACAACATAAACAAGCATGATGGGAATTCAGGCAATCGCCAAAACTCAACTAATTATGAGTTTAAACATGCAACATAAAAGTACAATCAATCCTCCCTCTTGGTATATATGAATTCATGTAACAATATTTTTATGACCAGATGAAGAAGAACCATCTGAACAAGACGAAGCGGTTGCTGCGAAACAAAGATTTATGATGTCAGTTATAACTGCTTCTCCACCACAAGAAGAAGAAGAAGATATGGGTTTGCAAAAACTAATTATTGAGTACTGTGTGATGTTGATGTTGAAAGGGGATAATTTAAAGTTTCTTTGATGTCGGTATTGTTTTGTTCGAATTGATCATTGTGTTACAAACATATGTAAAACAAAACAAATCAAACCGAAAAGATACTGTAATTTCAAAAAATATTATCTTACATATTGTTAGATGTCTGTGGTGCATTTACAGTGTTCGCTTCGGAGTAAAAGGCATGCATTCCTTAGTTACCAACAGTGTTATTTTGGATATTTCATTATTCTAAAATTCTGCTCTGCGTTTTGGTTCAGTTTTAAATTTTCTGGATTTCTCCTTTGCGTAGCAAAAATTATGATATATGTCAATACATCATAATACTGCTACTTAATAATTGCATTATTTACAAAACACTTTTAATATATTTAGTTTAAGATTTTTTAGGCACATACTATGTGCAATTTATGACAAAATTCTTTTTAGGTAGTCAACCACCTGGTTCAGAACTTGGTAGTGAAGCTGATGGAATTCCATCTGAAGTGACAGAAAGTAGTGGGAAATCTGAAGATATGTCTCCTGACTTACATAGAAAGGTTATTTTGTATTTTTATGATGAAGAAAGTATGAACATTTTGGTGCTTAAATTCAATGGCCAAATAACTTCAGGTTCAATGCAATTCTAGTACTTTTCTTATTCAGTATGTGTCTGATATTATTTTTATAAAGACGTATAGTGATTTTCACAACTTTCAGTACAAAGGGCAATCAAAGTATATATAAATTTAACTCATGAGTGACCAATCAATAACTAACTCAGTTTATTCAAATGACTATTCTTTCTGAACTATGTTGTATGAAAGAATGTGAAATAGAACAGTCGTTTAATTTTAGCCGAAACGGCATGGAGTCAGCTTCGGACCTGTTGATGAAGTTGTAAAGGAAGTTGTTGTTAAACCAGAAATGAAAGATGCGGAAATTTGGACTGATCAGCCAGAATATGAAACTACATTGAATGTGCGTGTATTCAGACCTTTGGAAATGAAAGGTTTATGATTGGTTAATTGTTTTTTTACTGGATGATAATTGAGCTTGACAATTAATGCATAGTGCCAAGAATTAGGAATGTGGTTGTCAACGCACCACTGATTACCCTGTTGAGATTTGGGTTTAATATCTACAGGGTTAATCAACCCCTGTTTCCAAAAGGGGGTTTCCTTCTCTGACAAGTCTATGCATTTGGAACGAATACCTCGGTAACTACTCTCATGCCTCACACTAACTACTAACTGAACAAGAAGTCATATAATTTAGTCATTCTCTTGGTTGGATATACCGAAGATTATGGTCCTCTCTGAAACATGGAAAATTTTATCTATCATTTCTATTTGTCTGAAATGCACGTATGAAATCATTGTACAAAAAGATGGTAAAACCTGGGAATAAAGTAGATAACAGAAAAATGGTTAAGCCGTCATATCGTCTTTCCTTTTGCATCGAGAAAAATGGGAAATTCTTATCCTCTCTGTCTATTTTTTTTAACATGCATACCATAACCTGTCATAATTGTCTTCTCATTTTTCAAGATGATGATAATCAAGACATAAGCTGTTCACTGACACTTGGCGACAAAACTTTGAAAACAGGAACTTTACCTATTCCTACAATAACTGATATTACATTTACTACTGTACAACCTGAGGTCTTAACTACTATTGGAGAAAAACAAGATTTATTAGAAGGTTAGTCAGACCGTGAGGAATATTACCCATGTGTTGGTGCTAGCGCTTATTGATGCAAGACTTTTTGATAAAACTGGAATACTGGTTAACTTTTGTGAATTTGATATTCAATATTTATGTTTATAATATTTAGATGCTCTGAAATCTGAATGTTGGGAGTACAACACTGAGATAAAAATTGATTATTTTTATAATTTATACACTCGGGTGCAGTCAACATCTGGTGCATTGAATTACGTACTGGGAAAACGCTTGTCGTTACTTGCCAAGTCCATGCATCTGAAACGAAAAAGTGTTAACTATTTCAATAACTAAGATGGACTGGTAACCGAACAATAGGCAATGGGATGACATATGACTAAGTCAAATTGTCAGCTTTAAATATTGAATCTGATCCTATCCTATATGGATGTAGGAACACGAGGGTTTCCAAATTTTTCAGATGACTTGGGCTTGGCTTCTACATCGTATTTCTTCATATTTTAATTTCCGAACAGAAACGCCAAAACCAAGACCCAAAGCAGGAAGAAGAAAATCAATTGGATTTGCAAAGAGACCAGTCAGTCCACCAGGTCACCAATTCGAAATTTTTTCAGCTTCTGCTTAATACCTAATATAAAAGAACATTACTTGAATATGCATTCATCATTTTTGTCAAGAAATTTTATTTTGATGTTAAAATTATGCATTAGAAGTGCACTGTCATTGTATTGCTGAAAACCTCGCCAATTCAGGTCCCATGGGAAAATAATCACATAGAAAATAAATGCTGCACTCATCATCATAGGATGCTTGATGTAACCGCATACTCTGTTTCCTTCACGATTTCCAGTTTTGCCATATTTTGACCCATGTCTAGATTAGGCGCTATAGTTGTCTCTATGATCTGATTGTGCATGATCATGTATGGAGGGTTAAATATGAAAATCCTGCATTACCTTCTCTTTTGATACCTAATATCATTATTATTGTTTTCATGGATTTGCTGGAAATCATCATTGTTAAGATAAATGTAATTTGCAATTCCCTATCATAGCTCCTTCATCAATGAAATCAAAACCGACAAAACCAAGTAGTATTTTGAAGAAACTAAAATCACCTTCTGATGAAGAATCTGAAGACGTGGAAGAAAAGAAATCAGAAAACCCAACAGTAGATAAATCATCTTTTAAAGAAGTTTCCTTTCCCCTTCCTGAACATATGAATGACTCGGTCAGTTGTGTATTTTTGTGGCTCATGCTTTTCAGTTAGAAACAATTGTTTGTTTGTTTTAGACTTTTTTGTATCTAGGATAAGATGGGATTGACATATTTATCCTGGGGGAGAGGAAAGCCGATAAGAGTAAGATGGTTTGATCATATGGCGAACCACGGCCTCTCCTTCGGTTACCAGTCTATGTCGAGTAGGGAATTAGTTAACCAAAGTTAACCAACGGTTACATGAACCACTCTTTTCACTAGCCCTTGGAGTTGTTTGATAATAATATTATACAAATACATGGCGATTCATACCGGTAACTTGCGACTCCGATTATTAGACATTCAGGACCCTATACCCAAATATCTTGAAAATGAATCGGCATGTATTTTATATTATTGTTATTAAGCAACTCTCAAGATGTGTGAAAATCAAACTCATAACTCATATCATTCATGCCATGGCTTGTGACCCGAGAAAATCTGTATATCCATGTTTCTTATGATCAGTGTTTCTTTTTCTATAAATTGAATTCGTGCAGGTGATACATCTTATGTAATCCATACCTGATCTGGCAATTAGCGTAGACTTGTGGTTTACTGTAAGATCACACTTGCTCCCTTAGGATAATTATGAAAAATCGTATCTCTATGTTATTCATCCTTTTCTATGTTATATAAGAAGTTGTTTTGATAATTGATAGTTTAGTATATAATATATGAAACTCGAACATTAACTATTAAAAGTTTACTTCTTATTTTTTTGTAATTTTTAATCGTATTGTTGTTTGGAGATTCCACTGCATTCTAACATCTGTTGAATTGAAACTGGTTTCTGTATTTCAGATCAAAGTTGCCATCTTACAAGGAGAGAAGAATACAATGATTTCAATGGCAATGTTATCATTACAAACTATCAATATAGAGGTGTTTATGAATATATTTATTAGAGTAAAAATATTGTATTAGTCTTCAGTGACTAAACTGCAGTACCAGTTAGCCTATGCGACTTACACTGAAATCTGATTTGTCAAAAGCTTCAATTGAATATGGCTGATCAAGTCCTACTGCCATAGCAGTTCATGTTGGTAAGGAGCAATTAGCAATTAGCTCTTGCTAAGTCAGAAAGATGTCAAACTGATCTGATGTAATGCCATGTGCTGGCACAATATCCAGCGGTCCATAAGTATGTGTACCAATATTGACTATGGAGGTAACTAATTTTGTTCGCCTTCTTTACATCAATGGGACGGAAACCTATTTATGGGCAGAGGGTATATTCACTTGGCTAACACAGACAGTCCCCGAACTCGTAATAGAACTAAAATGAGGAAAATCTGAATGAAATTATGGCCTAACGCCCTAACCCTAACCTGGTACACATACTACGGTAGAAACAACACCGTAGGTATAACAAAATTTTTGGTGAAATATCAAACTCAAGGGCTCTAGGGCCTCAACCTCCACCAAGTACTAAAATTGTGAAAATTAATATTGATTCATTCATTTTGGAGAAAAGCGATTTTTTCCTAGCAACAAATGTCACCTCAACAACAACAACAAGAATTTGGCAAAACGATCTAGGTGTAAAATTTTTGCCCCATGTTTATATTAACTTTTTAAAAAATGATTCACTTTATGAACCAATTTCAGCATGCATATTATTGTCTTACACAGAATCTTCCAATAAAATATGAAAAACCAACTAATGAATCATCAAAGTCAGAGATTGAAGAGGGAAAAAAAGTATCTGAGGAGAAAGATAATGATAAGAAGCCGGAAGAGAAAGGTTCGTAAATTAATATCCATGTTTGCACTTCTGAGATAAAACAAGTTTAAGCAGTAGCTCACTTCAGAATATATCAACTTTTTTTTAAAGATACTTTTTGTAACATTTCAAAATGCACGGTATAGACATAAACGTATTTGGTTCTTTGGATAATGGTGTTATTGTCTTTTCAATTATAAGTAAAACTTCACCAATAGATTTGGGTTTCAAGGCACAAAGTTTCATGCCATATTTGAATACAGCATTATGGCAACTTTCTTTTTTGGAATGCTTAGAGAATAAAGATATGGGGCAAATATGAATTTTAATTAAAGCTCGGTTGTGAGAATCTACTACACTGTTCAAAAGATTTATCTGTAGAAATCCATTATCTAATATTTTATATAAAATAACACAAAAAAATCATACAATCCAACTTTGATTTTGAATAAAATACTGAGCATAGGCTAGATACCACTAAACCTGGCCTCATCACCATCTCATTCCTGGTGAACACCAGCTTCTAAATAGCAATAAAATGAAACAATAACATAATTATAATACAGATATGCCTGAAGAAGTTCAAACTAAACCAGAAACAACAGAAGAACTATCTGAAATTGACACAGCAATTTTATCAAGAGATCCAGTATTTGTTTCTTTGCAAGGAATAAAACTTGGAATTGGTATGTTATCAATACTTGACTTATTACTTGCTTTTTTTTTTGGAATTTTCTAAAATACATTTATGGAGTTTAAAGCGGTTCATTTCATTATGATGGTATTGCCGATTTGAAATCTCTGGTTTTAAATTCCATGCCCACCGCCTCACACACAGTGTATTAAATTGGATAGGAAATGCAGAACTGGAAAGATTACGTTTTTTTTTATTAAAGCAGCTCCTCACTTAACAGAGGCTCTTTGTGCATAGCCCTGTGTGGAGTGTGTATGAATATTTGTATAGTATGGATCAAATCACTAAACATTTGAACAAAAATCTCTTCCATTCTTCATATCTTATAAAATGAATTTTCTATGAAGAAGGATTTTTTTTTCATTTGGACGTATTCATTTTGTTGATGGTCTGAAAATGAAATGATTTATAAATCTGTACATTTCAAATTTTACAGTGTATTGAGTCGGGTAGAGCCTACCTGGAAAGATTCAGACCCTTTAATTGAAGCAGCTTGTATAGAAAATGTTTAAGTTGAATTTTAAATCACCACATTTTTAAACAAAGACCTTAATATCTTATAAAATGAATTTTTGGCGCTCCAGAAGTGTGTGTACCAATATGAAGGTAACTAATTTTGTTCGCCGACTTTACATCAAGTTGTGTAAAGGGACTGAAGCCTATGGGCAGAGAGTATATTCACTTGGCTAACATAGGCAGTCCCCAAACTCGTAGTAGAAATAAAATAAGGAAAATTGGGATAAAATTATGGACTACCGAATTTTTAATGAGAAGGATTTATTTTTCATTTGGACATTCATTTTGTTGATAGTTTGAAAATTAATTAATTTATGAATTTGTATATTTTAGCAAAATATCTTAATTTTATTTATTAGGTGGTCATGGGCATTCAGAAATAGGAAAATTACCAATGATGTTTTATCTTGTTAAAAAAGAAATACCAAAATATGTAAACAAAGAATGCAACACAGAGAGTATAAGAGAACTTGTAAAAGATGTCATAGGTTAGTATTATCTCATCATGTTTGCTTTTCAACAATATACTATTCTAGAATTCGATTTGTTTATTTCATTTCGATATTATTTCAAAAAATTGACATGGATATATTAAGCAGCACATTTGAGATGCGAATCATGATTCACTGAAATATTGAACTTTATGTATAATAAAACTTTTGATAATCAATGAAAAAAATTTGGTTCTTTTCTTTTCCATAAATTATAGTGGAAATCTATTTCAAATATTTGAGTGTGATTGTATTGGTATTCTCGACTTTTTTCCATGTAATCTCTTACGGTACCTTGTTTAGTATATGTTTTCAATTTATTTTTGTATTTTTAAATATTTAAATCATAGTTCATGAATTTTTTACTTTTGTATCATCCAATGCTTAAGCACTTGAATTTCTACAACAAAATTTCAGTAATCTAGAGCAGGGGTTCTCAAACTTTTGGTGTTGCGGAGCCCTTGAAAAGGTTGACTATTATTCACGGAGCCCCAAAATAAATGTTAAAATCGTTACTTTCAGATTAATATTCCTGAGCAAGTTAAAAGTACTTTACTTAATTTAAATGCTGAACCTTTTTTAATAGGGTTAATGCAAGTCATAAATAAATCTCAATTTCAAAGATAAATTATATATACTCTTCCTAAAGCTGTAAATTTGACACTTGACAAACATATTAAACTAGGGGTCGAATCTTTTCTCTTTTGACATTTTCGGAAGGCCGCTAATAACGTGCGCGATTGCATTTTACGCCGGTGTTTATTCTCCCTAAATCAAAAATTTTCTTTGGCATATACATGTATTGTTCCACAATGACGACGATAATTGCTTTTTTGTTCTCGTGGGGAATTATGAGTTTTATGTGAAAAACATGTTACCATATAGTCATCGGCGACGAAGTGCTAAAAATAATAATTAATAATAAAGAGGTAAATCCGCAACCAAATTTCTTGATTGAAAAACGGCATTCTAAAATATTAAAACTTAAAATAAAAGATCACACTATATGTTTGGTTTTAGCAGACTCACGTCAGATTAAAAACGCTTTTATAGGCATTGTAAATCACAAAATTTGGTGTTATGTTAGGTTTTCTTCGGTTATTCATCGTATAGTAACTGCGAAATCGAAACACAGTCAATTGTGTGCGCGATTTATCTTTTTTTATTCTACCGACGGAGTCGCATGCATTAAAATAAATTTTATTCGTTCGTATTTTGCCCAGATCTTGTGAGTTTTTGAACGGCGATATCTTGCTTAATTATAATCTCAAGTGCAAAAGAACAAATCAAGTTTGACAAATTCCAATATCGCAAAAATACGACTCCAATTTATTTATAGTTGGCAGTTTATCACATATTTTATGTTATTTTAGAATAGTATTCTTTCATTTCAGTAATCCTGATAGTAATCTCGAATGAAACGTGAGTAACTATGAGTACAATTGAAATATTACGACAAGACACTTTAACGGCCATGCATTGAATATTTTACGCAACAGAAATCTGGTTATCCGTTTTTTATAATCGCAAAGAATGTTGCGCGGAAATTTCCGATTCAAATCCCCACCTCTTAAGAATCCTGGCTGCGCTCCAGCTTATAAATAATGTCATTTTTTAATTCCGCATCTTTGCCATTTTTCGAGGCTATATTGTTGTCAAATTTTATCAAAGCTGTTATTGCTTCTTTGAGCAGTTACAAAATTAGCCAAGTCATTATTGTGAAAAGTCATCGAATAGCTTGCGGAGCCCCTGGGTTTCTCTCGCGGAGCCCTGGGGCTCCGTACGGAGCACTTTGAGAACCTATGATCTAGAGCGCTTTGCACAACAGTTATGTTCTACAATATGTTCCATATAATTCTTATCACTAATTTGTGCCTAAAAATTTGCTTTAACTAGAAATAAATTTTCTGGTATTTCTCATTCTAACTTAGGTGTTGATCTGGATCAGATATCAAAAGACGATTTAATAAATATATTGAGCAGAGAATACAATGATGTTTGTACTTCTGCTATGTCATTTGCATCTTCATCTTCTCATAAATCAGTGAGTGTCTTCAATTTTATCAAAATTAAAAAAACTAGTATTCAAGTGGGACATTCAGATTTTGTTGTATAGTCTCACAAAGTGTATAAAAGATATACCATATTTCTCGCATCCGCATTTTAGCACAGAAATTATGAGAAATTTGTAGTTTTTATGGATATACTAATATCTGATTTTGTTTTCACTCTTGCACCACTGGTCATTTGGTTTTGTTTTGCAGAAGCATTTCGGGTATTTGTCTATTTTGTGTTTAACTACATCTCTGCTTGAATATGCTCTGATTGATATGTTTGACACCAAATGGTCTGCATCAACAAAATCGAACAAATCAATTTAGCAAACATTTTGTAGGTCCACTCAGTTTCCACTTAGTTAGATATGTATATTCCCGAATGCCGAATATTAATGGAAAGTATTAATATTAAAAACCTGATGATGTCAGTGACTCTTTTTGTTAATTCAGGGATTTATTGCACCTGAAGAGTTTGGAAGCAATTCAAGAACAACATGATAAAGAATTACAAAATATCCAAGCAGAATATGAGATGAAACTTCAGCAATATTATCAGACATGGAACATATGCAGCATGTTCAACACACAAGAACACCGGTGAATATTTCTAATAAAAACCAAACAAAATAGTATTTTTTGCTAAAGTAAAAGTATAAAAGTCAGTTTAGTAATGCATAAAAATGTGTATATAATATGACTTTGAAAGTTTTTTCAACTGATAAATTAAGAAGGCTTACATAGCATGAAGTTTTTATAGTCAAAAATCAATGTCATCAAAATTGTATCAAAATTTTTTGTCAACCAGGAGTCTTGATTGTTAAATTGGGTCCCTGAATTGTTTTTATTAAATGGGTCATAGTTGGAGATACGAATAAATTTCTCTGACTTGTGTAGGACAAGATTGGATATACTCGATTCCACACCTTTTGTTGGAGCTGTTTGGTTAACATAATGGAACGTCTATTGATATTGCTCGAACACATGAGACATGGCTAATGTATCACCGCAATAGCCATCTCATCAAGCATAGTTTAACCTATGATCCCTCTTACAGAATCTGTTGTTATATTTATAATACTTTTGAATATGATTATAAAAAATTTGTCATTCAGGTACAAATTGCAGTGACTTCAGAACAAGAATTAAATCAAGAAATACAAATCTTGAGTGAAAATAGGATTCCGGTTTGAAGAAGGTTAATAGCATTCTCATATGCTACTGCTTATATTGAGCAATTTTATTTTGACTCTATAATTAGGATAAAGGCGATATATGGAAGATTATAAAAACAAGGATGAAATTACGTAGTAGTAAATTTATTATATTTCACTAGCATTGATTTTTTGAATTGTTGTCATGGTCTCCTTAGTGGATTTGAAAGCTACCACACAAGTGATCAAGCTGAATCGCTAAGTATTAGTCTATTGCACTTAACATATATTTTTTAAAATAATTCAATCTCGCATTTTGATATGAATTTCAAGTAGAATCTACTTCTCCACTCATATGTTACAGCTCTCTATTCCTACTGGATTTGGGAAAGGAAAGCTTTTTGCCACAATGTGCTCATGAATTTCTTTATTAAATATGAAATTTTAACAATTTTAATGCCGTAGTAACTTTTGAATTTGACAGAAGAATTGCAGTTTGTACAGGATACGGGTGTTGCAATCAGAGGTTCAAGAAAACCAAGACCACCTGTTTTACCTGATTGGGGAGCTCATCTGCCTAAAAATGTGAGTACTGTATTGTCATCACATCTTTGTACCCTGGATGGGTTCAGAGGACTGCTGGACATCATAGGCTGGTTTACGTCAAAGCAAGGTCGGTAACTACTTCCTCCTCTACAAAATTCCGCTCATATTTGAACCAATAACTAACTTACCTGACATGGAAGGGTAACACCTAGACAAGAGGCAGCGTTCCTTCATGTGTCATCTTATCCACTTTCCTCTCCTTTGAGATAAAATATAATATTCCTATTACTAAATAATTTCACCATGTTGTGATGTTAAAATTTGTAGGTTTGGGTTCGTATGAAAATGTTGACAGAAGAAATGATTGAGAAACGACATCAATTAGAAGGGAGAGTACGAAAACAGATTGCCTCAAATATTGAAAAGAAATTGGCTTCACAGTACAAGTAAGCACAAGACTTGCAAAATAGAACATGCTTGAGATTTTACCTAAAAATCGTATGAAATTCACCAAGGAATTTGTTTCAGAAACTAAATGTTTGATAAAAATGCTATTAAGTTCAACAAAATTCAAAGCCATTTATTTTTGGTAAGTGAGACAGTTAAAATTTAGAAACTACGAAATTTTTGTGCTAAATCAAGTAACATGATGGGGAATTTTTGTTATAAACGGTGCATGTGATGTGCTCTTAGTTTATATATTATTAGTTACAGCCATGATGGTCATTATGAAGAAATTGTACAGTGAAAATTGGTTTGGAATCTGTTATCCTTTTCATTGTTTTTCTCTTTCTTAGACTACAGCGTGCAAATAACACTATACAAGGGCCTTTGCAAGATGTCAGTCTGCCCGCTGTTTTCATGCCATCTAGAACTGGGAATGTATATAATCCTCCGTGCACATTTATATTTCCATCCCACTGGAACATCTGGTGATCTACGTTTATCTCAGCCTCCATCAATATTTCAACTTCCTCCATTACCAGAAAAGGCTGTATCCTTTCACACATTATTTAGTTTTATGCAATCACATAAATGTTTGATTACCTTGAAAGGCAAATTTAGAGCATAATTTAGGATAGGATTAATTTTTGTATGATACCAGCTAGGAGAAAGCTTAATAAGACGACATGATTGTTTGTTAGACTTCGATTTAATTTTGATTAAAGCTCCAAAATTATTTTTGTGAAGTTTGAATTTTATTAAAGTAGATATACATGCTGACTTCATTACACCCTCAGTGATGGATCTGTTAGGGGTGCAGATTGGTGGGTTAACATCTGTTTCATCACCCTAGGTATTGGGAAAGCACTTTCCCTTGCACCACTCACTGATTATTCTGTGTGGATTTGCTAGACTCATCATTGACACAGGGTGGTTGTATTCTCAAACCCAACCTGGTAGATCAAAAGGATGTTGTTCATACGAATGTTGGATGTTCAAGCCATTCTTTAGTTTTAGCAGAGTAAATATATCACAAGAATTTGTCTAAACTCAAACCAAAATGAACTGATTACTTGTTCCTGAACTTCAATTATCACAGAGACTTACCGTTGTCAATCTGTTTGATTTGAGTAAAAATTTCCAACAAAATTCATCTACGGACTGGCTTACAAGGATCGCATCAGCAGCTCAACCTAAAGGTTCTCGAGCAACAACGGCAGCTACCAGAGCATCTCGACTTGCAACACCAAATACACCTGCACCTACAGCAAATATTTAGAGCAAAAATTTATTACATCAGTAGACCATTCTAAATAATTATGAGATGCTTCACTTCAAACAAGGCTGGGAGCAAGCATCCAATGCTAGATATTAAATTTCATGCAAGTTTCTGGTGTCAATGTCTTTACCAGCTCTCCAGAATGTTCTTTCCACATAATAACCTTTTTGATATATTCACACAGGATTTTTTTTTGTCATATCAAGATTTCATTCCTGAATATACATTGCATTTCACAAAAACTTCTCAATACACATGACAATATAATTCCTACTGCCGGAATACAATTAAAAGCTATTAGTTCTGTAAAAACTACCTTAAGTCGTAAGTCTATAATGTCAAGCTTATCATGAAACAATGTATGCGACAACCCCACTCATATGTGGTGGTATATTTTTTTATATACTACATATTTTGTTTTATAGAATTTCATTCAGTGTTGCTTAGGCTTTGATCCAGTTTATTTTTTGTATTTTTCATTGTGTCATGCATGCCCGATCATGTTACCTTTTGAAAATAAAGTTATGCAAAATATGCTGTAATATAGAGTTATTGCTTGTTCATAAGGTAAGTAGATATCGTCACTGAACTTTGTGACTTGGGTTTTTATTCAGGGCTGTTTAGTTTGCAATAGCCCCCCCTCCTATCTTGAAAAATTTCGGACTTTAACTTCAGGTTATTAGAAAAATTTGAACTCTAGAAAATCGAACTTTGATAATGATAAACTTTCTAACAGACTAATAAACGCTAAACTGTCGTTGACGAGTTTGAAAATACGACCCTGCTACATACAAATCCAAGTTTACATCTTTAAGCTGTTTTCCTTTATCTCACAACTCTCAAGAGTCCTATATTCTGTGACAATAACAAGATGCATTTATTTAAGAAACGTTTAAAAATCAATCAAAAATTTTGAAAATGAAAAATAACACAAACCAAGGCATTGAAAATATGCGATGTGTTTTATAGAAACATTATTCCAGTTCCAACTTATGGAAACACAATTATCAGAACTAATAATTCCACACAAAAGAACTTGAATGAACTGGTAACATTTTACCAATAGTAAAGATCAGATAAATGAATTTTTCATCACAATCCTCAAACTCCCGATTGGCAACGATCAATTGCGAACTCAATCCATATCTGGGGATAGACATTACTAGGTTAGCTTAACTAACCTCACACTCGACAAATAAGCTTCATAGCAATTCAACTACAAATTAATCTTTGTATAAGAATTTTGTTAATCGAAACTTGGTGAGTGAGATTTTATGCGATTTTTCGGAACTTACGTAGTAAGTGATAATGGCAGGGTGAATGCGGATAATGAGAATGCAGATTATCCAAACAAAAAGCAAATTTGACAGGTTAGACGTGACATGGGCAAACTACAGCCCGTTGGGTAATTCAATCTGGCCTGCTTGATGCCGCCACAACGTTAACTATAACCAAATTTTGAAGTTTTAGCTAAAAAATACCTCTATTTGTTGAGATTGTGATTAAATTTAGTTTTGGCAAGAGGCCTATTGTTTTTGCTTTTGTAACATTGTGAATATTGTTCATAAAATGTAACTTTTTATGTCACGTTGACATGGACCGCTAGTCTAGGTGGGTCAAAAACTACCCACCACTGTTATAGACCCTGACTCAGGAATTCAACATTACGAGAATTACAAAGTATAAAATGATACAATATTATTCTATGCGTTAATTTCTGAATTACCCACATGAAAATTGATTAAAGATTAGACAGTTAATTATGAAAATCCAACAATAGGAGAAATAAACACAATAAAATCTGACAAGAAAAACAATTGCATCATGGCAATAAACAAGCAATATCCACCTTGATATATCAACAGTGCAGTTCAATAATACAGCAGGCAGCATCAAATCTTTATTTTTAAATCCAATACTACTCTATATCAGAAAAAATTTAGAATATTTCGTTCATATTATTTTGCAGTAATGACAATAACGCATCAAAGCATTGTGCATATACTCAACTTAGTCATCAATTATTCTAATGTACTTTAATTATTCGTCTGTTAAAAAAAAAGACAGTGCTTATAAACACGATAATAAATTGAAAATATTCTGGAAAATAGATTGCATTAGCTTAAAATCATCATCGCATCGGGGGCTCTCCTTAAATAGGAGGCATTGAAAAGAAATATTTAGATCAAACTATGTATCGAAATTGATACAAAACAAACAATGATATGTGATCACCGATGAAAAAAAAACTTCCGAACATACTCATGTAACCTTTCATGAAATACATAAAGTCAACTTATTTGTAGAATATGATATATTGTAATTCACCATATGGGTATCAACAAATGCAGTTTAAAATCTGACAAAAAAATGAAACAAAAAATATAAACAACCATCACTTCATATTGATAGAAGTGACCCAACCACAGAGCTAAAGCGAATCTGGGCTTTAGGAAGAAATAAATGTGAGTATTTCAAGACTGGGTTTGTGCAATATTTTACCTTTATTTTATTCAATACCTTGATTTCAATACTCAGATTATAACGTTATTCTATATGGGCTTTGGCTGGATGGAATCTTTTTCCATTATTGGGAATCAGACAACACCATGTTGCAATGAGGAACATTCTGTATTTGCAATTTGCGACTGAGAAAAACCACTGGGGCTGCATTTAATTAGTACAAAATGAGATTTATTTCACTGCATTATTAAACACTTCAACTGAAACCCTAATCTCCGTTTAATTTTATTTGTTGAACAATACAAAATTACATTTGTATTTCATCAGAGCATTTTATGGTATGTTGAGAAACAGGTTGCAGAATGAAATCATTCTCTCCAGTAGATTGTAAACTATCTTCTGTTATGTCAAAAAGGTCACTAATAGGTTCGCTGTCATCAAGTCCAAATAAGTAAGAAGACTCATCCAAGGCAGGTGATAGTGGAATAAGAAAGGACGTTGCTGAAGAATCTACAATGCCTGAATCATCACCAACAATGCAATTGTATTGATCTTCAGTTTGTTGGAGAAGAGATTGTCCTTCTTCGATCGTGTGAGAAATATTTTGATGAGCCACTAGTGCTGATTGATAGCGATCTGAAGGTGCCGATTTTCCTGTGAAATTTCATAACATTAATTTAGGGTAAAGACAAAATTAATGAAATGCCCGGGACAAAATTGATATAAATATAAACATTTATTGTTTTAGGTTTGTATATTAATTAATCTAACAATAGCAAAACCATGCAAACTAACATATCAAGCAAAGAAAGCAAAATTTGATTATTCGAACCTACAGTCTTTTGAGTACTAGATGGGTATGATCAAAGTTACTGTATACAGAACAATGAGTTTTTGCAGCAAAGACCAGTAAAAAAACTCCCGAAAAGACACAAACGAGTTCAATGACTTACTATGCAAAACATGAATTTTTAGAAAAACTATCAAATGAAAATTTATGGAAAATAGCAACCGTGATATTCAATACTATGCTCTTATATTAGATTCAATATATGATCCAAATGAGGCAGACATCTTATTAAGAACAATTCAGACTTCTTTTTTGCAATTCTTGATAATATGATAGCATAGAATATAAAGAATAATAACTTGAACAAACACCACCACAAAAACCTCCACCAATTCGGCACATAAGGAATTCAATAAGAAAAGAATGTGAAAAGTGTTTTAAAATCAATGCTAGTTTCACAGTAATACAAGTGGCTCACACTGAGCTCAGTGAATTGAGATTAGCAATGTATATTATTATGGTCATTCTATGCATGTCCAATGTCCTAGTTGGTGCAGTGATTTATATATCTTCCACATTGTTTCATTTTATCTTAATTTAAGATAAACCAACAAACACCTCAACTAACAACAAATTCATCAAAGTTAGAGGAGATTTTTATTAAACAGTAGCACTATCTATACATCTGGACAGAGTCTCAATTATTTTTTCCAATTCACTGAAACAGGGGATGAAATTTTCAATTCTCCAAGTCAAAATTTCTGACCAGAACTCAAAAAGCATTTTTAGCAGGCAGCAGATCAGAGAGCCAAATTACAAATACATATATAAATTCTGGTGAAGGCGGTTTCACCCCCAATAACAAATTTCTTTTTGCCAAAAAAGGTCATGTGATTCAGTCATACCACAACCAACAAACTTGCCTTATCAGCATCAACAACAGATTATCCTGCAAATTGACCAAAACGAGATTCACATTTTTAGAAATACTGTATACCAGAATTCTAATATCAAATATCAGAATAAGTAACGACCATTTAATAATTGAACAGATAAAAAATTCTGAAAGAAATTCTGAAATTTGTTTGCAACTTTATATATCTTAAATGCTTGGCTATTCTGTAAAAATAATTATATTATTACGACTTGAAATTAAAAATAGTTTTGCCACAAAAAAGAATTCTGCAGTATAACTGTTCTAAGTTTTGCAACCTAAATTCCTAACATCTCTTAAAATTAACAATTTTAGGAATTCCACTGAAGTGTGAGAATTCCACAAAAATGGAACATACATGATAACACAAAAAAAGTCAGGATAATGCAAATGAAATGCTTCATATTAGAATTACCTTTTGGTGCATTAACAATTCCAGATCCTAATGCGTTGGTTTCATCATCGACGGCATTTCTTATTTTACTGTCTGGTGATTTCGAATCCATCGGGTCAGGACATAGGAAAACATCTATTTCTCCTTTCGTACTCTTCAATAACATTTGGATTTTCTGAAAAAAAAAAAAAATACATCAATAATCACATGAAATTCCAGGCATGCAAGTAAGTGTCATTAACTCACCAAGTGCATTGAGGGATAAGCTGCTACTATATGTTGGATAAGTTTATTAATAGATTTATTGCCGTGAGTCAATTCACAATCAAAATTTTTTTATTGAAATTGATTGAACTTCATCGATGCCAAAGATTTCAGTCAAAATTTAGCTACTTACAGCGAGCGAATTGTGAGAAAAATTCTTTTAATAACTTACATTATTGACAATTTTTTTTTTATTCAAAACAAAAGTGTTAAAAATATCAAGTCTTATGAGTAAATTTGAGGTCATTGACAGCTAATGATATAATTAGTCAGACCGAACTAAACATGATTTATACAGCAAAACTGAACAAATAAAATATCATAATACTGTGGAGTAATGTTATATGCTAGGCTGTGTATTAATGATAATTCGACAAAAGGCCTTCCGGAAGGTCTTTTGGCCTTCCGGAAGGCCCTTTTAATAAAATAGTTTTGAAACCTGATTTCGTGTAGTTTGATTTTGAATTTTCTTTAGCTTATGGTATTAATTGATTGCCAGTTACTCATGAACACAATCATGGGTTACAATTTCTATAAAACATTTTAGTTTTTTATCACTGACCTATTTACTTTTAATAAAAATTTCAATTTTTTGAAAAATTTGAAAAAAATCAATTTTTTAAAATCCTCATTTCTCAGATAAAAAAACCTTTGTGATCTAATTTTTTCATGTTTATGAATTTCTTGTATCATGTTGTTGCACTGAAAAACTAAATTTGCTAACAGAAAAAAGCGCAAATACAATTTTTTTTGTAAATTATAAATTTTTCATCAAAAATTTTAAACGATCAGTTTTATAAGAGGGATTATTGTTTAACTATATTCAGTTAGGTACATTTTTTTCTCTAAAAACCCAGAACACAAATACCTAATACCAAAAAAAACTTCGAAAATTAATACTAACACAAACAACATGATGGATGGGAGACCCTTTCAAAATTTTTCTTGAAAAGGGCCTTCCGGAAGGCCCTAAGACCCGGTATCTGGAAACCTAAAAAACTTCTATTTTCAGTAATTAGAGAATGTACCACTATCAAATAAATAAGTAATATTATTTTAAGCCATGTTATCTGAAAAGAAAGTTACATTTTTCGTTTTTGATGGGAGGGAAGGTGTTCCCCAAATGACAGCTGGGCATTAATTTTCAGTAAATGAAAGACGATCACTCATTGAAAGTCAGCGCCTACTTGGACAATAAAACTTTTGAATTTGAAATGTTTGCTCGTCATGTAAAGAATATCATGCAAGATTTGGTTGATATGTTGTCTTTATTAATGAAATATAACATCCAAAGATGAGCATTTATTAGTAGAAAACCCATGTTGCTCTAAATTGACAGTGGTCACAAGAGCGCATTAGTTACGCATCTTAGAAACCAAAGGATCCAGTACCCACATTATATTGATGACAGTGACAAATTTCAAATAAGTTTCTGCTACTTGCAGTCTAGGGATATTTCCAGAGTGCCATTTTCATTTTGTTTCCAGCTAGTTAAAATTATCCTTTTATCAAATCTATCTGCAAAAAAATTTGGAAGTTTGGATGGGCAACTAACTCACTACACCATTAATAATTCATCCTAAGGCTCTGTCTCCACTTTGCCTATCATTCTCTGCTGTAAGGGGATTGTATCCATGTCTTAATCAGACTCTATGTCTTATTAATCAGACTCTGTCACTTTCTTCGTCTGAGAATGAAAATACATTCATCTCTGTTAGTTCACTGTCTATGCTGCATGCTAAGAAAGCACTCAGCACATTCACTAACTTCCTTTTCTTTCTCAACTTCAGAATCCTAACTCTCAGTCTTTTTTGGTTGCTACCTAAACTGCTGTTTGGTTGTTCTTCATTCATTCAAACCAAAGCTACTCTCTGCATTGCGCTCAAAGTAATTTCCTAATTCGAATCTTTCTTAAGTTCTTTCTATGTTCTCTTCATCTGAAACTCCAGGTCTTAAATCTTTATAGTCTATTTCACACACTGTAATATTATATCACAATTCACAATGTAATATTATAAAATTTCACTCTAGCTTTCTCTAAAAACTTGAAAAGTATCAACCCAGAAACCACATCCAAGCACAAATTATAATGATACTGTATTTAGTAGCAATCGATTTTTAAATTTGAAATATTCTTCTGTATAGCTTGAACTTAACCTAAATATATTTATTATGTTAATCAATAACATAAAATGATAATTTGTGTTTAATTTTGACTTCCCTTCGAAAAAACAGGCTTTCCTCTCAATATTGAGGGTCCACATCGACACATATAACTGATTATTTTTGTAGGGCCTTCCGGAAGGCCCTAACATTTTCTAAAGTAATGTCCAACTTTTTATATATCATTAACATTCTGTATTGCATTTTGTTTCAATTAAATCAAGTAACCAACATGAAATCATGCCTCGGTGCAAAAAAAGTACCTGCAATTACAAAGAAATATTTTTTGACACCCGGAACAACAAAAATTAATCTAATATTCTGATCAATAAACTAGGTAACTTTGCTTATAATTGGGAGATATGAAGACAAAATAATGACTATGTCATCTGGTAATCGCCAGGCTTGCAACTACAACTTTTATTGCTTTCATTTAAAGCCCTGTACTCTTCAATTTGGTCAAAATAGCTGAATAGTGTAAATAAAACATAGGGCCTTCCGGAAGGCCCTTTTGTCTACATGTTTATACAAAATTTACGACATTATCGAGTGGTAGCAGTTCATTCCAATCACATTGCCATTGTTGTAATCTATAGAAACTTGCAAACAGTAAAAAAAGTGCCTCGATTAATACCTGGGTTCCCATAATTGCGATTTTGAAAAATATATAAAAATTTTCATAGATGACAAAAAGTTCTTATTTTCAATAGTTGAGCAGACTAATAAAAACTATAGAGTGCAGTGAGCTGTTAAGTGTCTGTAAATAACCTTAATGAACTATTCAAAGCTGAAAAACTAAGAGTTTTTTCTGCTATATAGTACTGTGAAAATTTATTGTAAAAATGACCTAAAATAGGGCCTTCCGGAAGGCCCTTTTTTAGTCGAATTATCATTAATAACCAATAAACAAAGATAATGGAATTCAGTAGTGCTGATTATTTTATGCCATATTATAGTGTTGTATGTTGACATATACAAGATAAGTTAGGACCCGAGTCGTTCAAAGTAAGCACTTACTTCTCCTGGATCAGGTACTTCAAGTTTAGTATCTTGTGGTGCCTTTATACAGATGACAATTTGATCTTTGAAACTGGATATACCTCGAATATCCTGATATGTCACATATGAATATGTGATTCCAGAAATCGAAGGTTAAAGAAAAGTAGGTTGAATTCATTACAATTATCTACTAACCCATTAATTAATAAAAGTTATTGAATGTTGGAAAAAGGTTGGCCATACATAGAATACCAATTTTCATTTTGTTTCGTGGGTTCAGAAGGCCTATGGTTGTAGATTATAAAGTTGCATCCAGCTAAGTTAACATCACAGTCACTGACTTCAAACCACATTTCAGCCACGTGACCCACGGTGTAATAAATTGGGTCAGTGATGCAAAATAGGAAAGATCTCGGAAAATAGTAGCCCCCAACATATCAGTGGGTGCTTTTTCAGCGCCTGGGTTCGGAGAGAAGGCATGGAAACGTAAGAAAAAGTTGCTATCAAAATCAATCTTATTTGTTGCATCACATTATTCTCTGAATGGTGGGAGTGTTACACCATGCTTTTGTTAATATTATTCCAGACTCCAGATATTTAACCAGTGCCACTACAAACAGATTTCTATTGTGATATTGCTGTTATCAGCTCCTTAAATAAACAGATAAAAAACATTAGACATAGTATAAAAGCAATACTGAAAAGGATATTGTGAATTTGATTCTGATAAATGTTCAAGTTCAACTTGACGATGTCCGATCAATTCTGTTAATCTATCTTCCATAGCTCGTAATGCTTGAACTTCTTCTTTGTGATCATGAATGATTTTATTTGTAGCTGCGTTTGCTGGTGAATCTTTTGGTATTCTGAAAGCAATATTTCATTTAATGGAAATTTCTCCAAACTGTACATTTGTAATCTACCTGTAATATTTATTGCAGAGGTTCAACAATGCCTAAAAATTATTTCTACAATATATACATCCTGACTGATATTTGGAAAGATATTAACACCATTAGTCCATTACCAATGTTACTTCAAATTAAAACAGCCAGCGCATAGTAATCTGAAGTTACCTACTATGATGGTACAAATTTTAAAAAAGTTCAAGTTTGAACATGGTCATTTATTTACATTTAGACATCTTACAACAAACTGATCGTAGGTCAACGGACTAAAAAGGGTCAGTTCGTCATTCTTTAGTGTTTGTTTTTTATTAATGTTACCCATGGATTGCTCAATATACATGTTTGATCTGGTATCAACATAAAAAAAGCGACCTTGCTTTAAAATAAATATCACATGAAACCAAAGATATCGAATGACAGTCAGAATAATAACTACAAGTTAACGTTAAAGTCCGACAGATATGTGATATATTGAACGTGCAGTGCACATCTACATGATAAAAATAGGATACAAAAAGGAAAAGGTACATCCTTGATAAGAGCATATAAGTTCCTTGTAATTAATCAAGTAGGTCATTTCCTTATTAGTGAAAATTGAATCAAATATAATCCTCCCAAGTTATTTAAACAACTCAATCTATATAAGAGTTACTCTTGAACCCTTTTAAGCACAAATTATGTTATAAAATAATAAAAAGGATGTATATATATAACAAGATACATTGAAACTTAACTCAAGGGATATCAATAATAAGATGCTCTTAATAGATTTATGTGATCTTGCAAATAGGCTTGAAATCAAATTTTCACCAATACAGAAAGAAATTTAAAAATCATTGTTTTGTAGGTGAGCAAGTAGATTGAATTAAAACACACCAATTGTCTTCACAACTAGTCATTTTTTATAAAACAAAATTGGTTTTATAGAACAATACTTACAACCATTGTACATTGTTCTTTGATTTTTTCTCTATTAATTTGATTCCTTCTAGCACATTTGTAATGTCATAAATTCTTCTTTTTTGCACAGATAATCTGTCTGCCGCATAGTTCAAATCCAGTATTCCATCTTCACATTCATGCATAAGTTCAATAAATCTGAAAAAATAATAAATTTAGTATTTACTGAAATTAAAATCTTGGCAAAACAAGACATGATTGAATATTTTATTAAATCCAAGTATAAAATTGTTTTCTTGTGTTGCTTATTTTCACAAAACTTCAAATTTTACATATTGAATCAAATATAATTTTGATACCAGTGGTTTAAATAAGTTTTTACTTGGGTACTTCTTAAATATGAAAGGTGATTTCACACTTTTTCACGCTTGTGTAATTACACAAGCTATGCATTCATGTCTAAACTGTGTACAAGTGTTGGCTTTTATGTCTCAGGAGAAAAAGTGTGAAATTACCTTTCAGATTTAAAAAGTATCCAAACACAAATATTTATGTTGTGAAGTCATGTAACGAACTACGATTCTTGCACTGCAATATCTACATGACCTTCCGCCACGAAGATGTTCAAATGAATTAAAATGATTAATTATTAGCAACAAAAAGAAGAATCCTATTCCACATATACAAGTGTACAAGATAGGAAAATACCTTTTTGTTAATAATCCCAAGGATGTATCATATCTGGTTTTATCTGTTGGAGATTTTCCAAATGAAACTGTTCTTGGACGTTTTCTTGAATTTGGAGTCGTAAGATGATTACTTCTATGGCATTGTTTCAATGGTGTTTTAAATGGATCTTCTTCTTGCAAGGATCGTTTTCCCTAATATATTATAAAGACCAAGTTGACATCGATCAACACTTTTTATTAATGAGAATTAGTATGTTTTATATTTGGTTGTACTATAAGCATTTATAGCAATAATGATAATGCAGAAGGAAGTTCCGATTACTAGGGCTGGAAATGTTTAACCGGTTAACCGATTTCAGATGGTTAACGGTTACGATTTATTTTAACCGTTAACTGACATCTCAGGTACAAATCATCTTTATACCGTACAATTTCTTCAAATATGATTACGTCAACACAAATATATCTCTTGTGGCGTTTAATTCAAAAGAATAGTACTAACTGGGTGGGTAAGGACTCAATAAATGTTAAAAATAATGGAAGATTGGAAGTACCAAGATTGATGATTATGGCAATTTGACAATGATGAATTCAGAATCAGTTTTCGGTCGATTTCGAACATCGAACACTGAAAATTTGTCACATAAATGACGTTAAACAACGGAATCGGGGTTTCTAAAATACTTCCACATGCCTGAACCACGCTGCCTATCTCTTGCAGCAGAGCAATTATGAAACTATCTCGATTCGTAAATAATTTTGAGCGATACCGGGATAAGAACACGCGGAATTGCTTTATAGAATTGTGACGTAACAAGCTGAAGTTATTATAAATTATTACATCAAACGTCACGCTGAACCGGTTAATTTTAGCCAGTTAACCGTTAAAGTATTTTCCCTGAAATTCCCAGCCCTACCGATTACACTGCATGTAAGCAAGTATTCTTCTCGTTTACACCACAAAGCCTTTATAAATAAAATACTTGAATAAAGAGCATCATACCGCCGCAGATTGTGGGGTTCCATAACAAGCTGTGTTTTGCGATTGTTCTTCGATTGTGAAAACATCAGTTGAATATTGACCACTTTCAAGCTGTAGTTTCCTCTTCGCCTATGGAAAAAATATTGAATATAATAGTATTTCAAATTATGGAAGATGAAATACGCTATATTATGACACATGTCAGCGTGTGAGATGATTAAGCATGACAAGTAGCATGCCACATATCCTCATGTATATGACCACATTGCCCATCGTAGGGCGAGACATTGGTCCAGCTTTCTTCATAATTACCTCGACGAGAAGTTGGACCTCAAGGAAAATAATTATAAATATATAATAAGCTAGTTATTATAAAATATATTGTAAACCTGCAATCCACAATTCTTATTTGCCACAATATTTTCTGTGTCCGGAGTCATCCCGAGAATTTCAGACAATTCCATATTTTTTCCTGGGAATGTTCCTGCCAAAGGACTCCATGCTCCAAACGATTCCAAATTTATAGACGAAAAATCCCTGATGACAAAAAAGATAATGCTATAGCAGTTGCCATCGTAAAATTAGAGATAACAATATACAGATATAGGAGCAATGCGATTGCAACCGTCAAATTACACAGTAGGTAAGTTGCGACCAAACCACAAAGTGCAGAAATCTAAGACAATTATGAATCACTAAACACTATTCAATACAATTACAGAATTAAAATGGGTGAAAGTGAATTTACTGATTTAAACCAACTGGTTTGAAGTAGAATAAAATAATTTCTCGATGCAGGTTGGAGATTGGAAATTCGATAAATAAATTATTGGGTCCATATAATCAAAATACAGTAGTAAGATGCCACAAAAAAGGCCATTTGATACGGTCCAATTCCAGAATTCGGTAAGTAAAGAACCATGCAAGGCTTCAAGACGAAATTTCAAAGTCATGACTGCTAGGGGTGAATTCCGGAATTGGGTGGTCATCACCGGTTTCTGAAAAAATGCAAAGCAAATCACAATCATATTACAGTATTAGAAATGTAATTTTGCAAACCTTTCAGGTTGAAGAGAAGCAAGATTGTTTATCAAATTTTTTCTTGCAGTCGCTGCTGAGAAAACCCTGGGTTCAGAGGATTGCATTTTTATGTGATAACAAGGCTCCAAAATAGTTAAATTCTACAAATATAGAAGTCTGAAAGTGGTAAGGTAAATAGTATAATAAAATGAATCCATCAGTCAGTCAAAGATCTGAAGTTATCATCAAAACATATTTTACCATTATCATTACTGCATTACAACATTAAGCTGTCAAATTATGAATCTTCTCCTATCAGTCCTATTTTTTTTAACGGATTTTGATTGGAAAACTAAGACAGTCCAGCCATACAACAGTAATAAAAGTAAGAATTTGGGCTCGGCGGTGTGCCGCATCGTGCTAAGCTTTTGGGATACCACCCAGGATACGCTCGCACCTCAGATTACTGGATTACCCTGTGTGGCAGTGTGGGTTCGCAAGTTCGATTCGAATCCAATGACTGCATGAGGGAATAATTATGTGTGAGAGGATTGCTAGACTCCTCGCCGCCGTATGGTGGTTCACATGACTGCTGGTCGGTTACGGCTTACGGTACTCCACCATCACGTCCATGCATCTGAAAACAAATAACTGGCTAACAAATCCAATACACAAATTGAACTGATAACCAGACGAGAGGTCGAGGTTCGTCACATGACTGCATGATTAGGCCATGTTATCCGCATTCCTATCCTCCCCCCAGTACATTTGTTTTCACTGCTTCTGTGCTTTGAGCATTTAGGCCACCGAAAAATACAGTACTGCAGTAACACCATGAATACCGGTCAGCCTGCAGGTTTGCGCATTCCAGCTTTCTCTACCATATCTGCATATATGCAATTAAAGTCTTCGTCACCGCTCACATGATATATCAATACGTTCTCCTACCCCAGTACAGCAGTAGGCCTACCCAATCTGCCTATTTAACTTTTTTGCACAATGCAGCCATGGCGGAGTTTAAAATATTACTTATATCTTATCTCCGAAAGTGCATTTTATGCAACTTACAAACCGCATGTACCATAGCGCGACAACCAGATATCTTCTAATCTTCCCGCTTTCCTTCTTTGTACGCCCCGTAGAGAGAAAACGAATGGCATGTGCGATACAACATTCTACTGATCTATCTTACTACTGTATCGGCCGCAGGCGGTGGACATCGAATCCTCACTACTGCACTAATTCGAGTTCGAATATCCAATACGAACCACGAAGAAGACAAGCATGAGCCAAACCGTAAATAAAAGATAATATGATACTGCCCAAACATGCGCCCCTGACGCTCCCGGCGAGCTGAGAACCTTAAAATTCCGTATTTTACTTCTCCGAACTAAACTGGAGAATGAAACACGTAGAATGATTAATTATATACGTCCGCGTATGGCAGTATACCAAATGAAGATAATATGTACTTAAAATCAGCTGATGCGTAAAGCCGACTTCCGCCAAAGCGCGCGAAAGAAACATCAAATTTCCCGCGGCACAGTTTCTTTCTACAATATCGGGCATATACGCCACGCAAAGAGGGCGTTTCGGAGGAGGAACCGTTGCAACATCGATGTATCTATCAACCAGACGCGCGAAATGCTCGCGCGGGCGGGACACAGAAATATTACCGTTGACAATAAGTTGGGTTTTGGCCCGAGTAAACCCACTATTGTAGCATTCTCTTATTATGAGCAAACTATATTCATATTTCTTCAGAGATCCAGCACGCCCTGAATATGCAGTGTTATTTGTTTCGACGTGCTTCTCTTCGTAAACATATAAACCGATTGTATAGTTGGAAAATTTAATTGGTCACACGGTGTAAAAGTGACATGAAATTAAAATAGGTCTCAGTACAAAATCGATTGGCATTGATGCGTGTGCGTTCACGAAATTCGGCTAACCACAAGGGTAGCCTACAATACTAATTGAAATATAAATTCATGTATGTTCAGGTTCACCATTTGACAATACGATTTACAATAAAAAAACTGTTAATTTTGCAATGAAATTGAACTACAGCATCACCATTTTACGTCAACGAGTGTTTTTTATACCACATTTTTGCAGGAAAAGCACTGTTGTGACACACATACCATAGCCAAGCATTCCATCCTATCAAAGTGTATTTATTAAAGTGTATTTATTAATTGCGACCCACCGAGTGTTTATGTTACACAAATTTGACGCCCGATCGATACCCGTGTCTTTGTCTTTTTTTATTTTGAATATATATATGTTTGTGTGTTGAATGTGGGTAAACTGGCGCATGTATATTTACATGTATTAAACGATTAAACCTTTATAAAGGTTTTGCCAGTTTCTCAGATTTTCTCAATCTTCTGTTTGTTCATTGTTTGTGTTTTGTGTATGATTTTTTTTTTGCGGAAAAATCAAAATATACTTATATATACTTATACCTTGCCATAGGAGATGTGGGTCGAAAATAAAAATGAATCCATGAGAAAATATCTTTGTTTTATGTGTTTAAAAACGAAATTTCATTAGCACAACATTATGATTATAGGCCTATGGAGATCCCCCATCTCCACTATTGTACAAATTAGTACGAACCCTCGATATCGATACATGTAGGGTTTCGTTTTTTATCAATTCTAAAAAAAATCGTGTTTTAAAACAAGGGCTTGTTTTAAATCAAATTTTTTCTGTATTTTTCATTGAAATTCCCCTTTGCATCGCCGCGAAACTACGCCAAAACTTTGCATTCTGGCAGCTGCACACGCACGTAATGGCTTATCGGTTGCGTCTTACTGCGCCAACCACTGAACTACAGCTTGAGAAGGTGTGCATGAGCCTCTATCGATATTTGTGGCGTTTTGAAAGATTTATTGCAAATAAGAAGCGCTTGGAAAGTTTATACATCCATGTTTCTCCAACCTATTTAATACAAAAAAATCAAATAGTACAGCCATTTTGAACAAAACGGGCAAAAAAAACATTTCTTTTTGAACAAATCCCTAGATCCCATGGAAAATTGTACAATATTAGCCTAATTTATAAAATAAAGCTATTCGCTGCATGCTATTTTCAGAATCAGTACGCTCATAACTCACTACTATACAAACAGTGTGGATTATTACAACTGGGGAATATCTATTCCTCAGAAATTTTATGCATATATGGTTTCGAAAATTATATATATTCTACCTTCAATGTTTGAGATAAAAAATATATATATATAATAAATAATGTATAAAAAAAAATATATATATATAAAAAATCTTCCATTCATTAAGCACAACTCGCTTGTAATATGTGATCAACAATTGAAAAATCATCTCCTTCCAGGCTACAAATAGATGAAAACACAGATCATGCGTTCAACTCTGGTATTCAAGTGGTGCCTTTTCCAGTATATGTTTTCGAGAGAGACCTTCTCTTCGTCATTTTGAAGATAAAATCAACAGAGCACCAGTTGTCTTGCCAACCGATTACGGCTTTCAAGAGGGAGGGTTACTGCAATTTTTCCAACATTACAACAAATGTGAAAATTTTGTCATAATCTTGAGATATACTTTTTTTATTTTGATCCTTGGTTACCTTATTAATTTATCATATTTTATATGATTCTCAGCATATATATGCTAAAAATGTGTCTCCAAAAAAAGACTTGAGAAAAGTGTGTGTGTTCAGTGCGTGTGTGGAAGAGAAATATTCGCTCTGGCACCATTTCCATGTTCAATATTGTAACATAATTTATATACGCCTATATTGTTTTTCTTTAGCATGGGACCGGCGGAATCAAATATTAGTCTGTGAACAACAATTATAGTAAACAATATTTCAATTTGAAGAACAGATATCTAAATATCCCAGAAACTACAACAACCATCATATTGATGACATCTTAGACACCGGGTAAGTATTAAAAACCTCGACATTTTTTTGGCACTGAGACACTTGTCGTTTCATTCCTTCGGTCAGTACACTAGATGAAAACACTCACGAAATAAGCCTAATTTTTTTTTGCAATAGTAAAGTATAGATAGAATTTTTCTGAAGTCAAGGGTCGGAGAAGCATCCACTAGGCTACTACTTGAGGGCATAGTTATGATTAATTTTGCACGATTGTTTTTTAATAGTTCTCATGCCTACAAAAATATATAGAGAATTAAGATGATACTTGTAAACGAAAAAGATGAGCAAATTTGTTTCAACCATGCCAATATTGAGGCCTGGCCAACTCGATGCTCCAATAGAAATTTCTTTAGTGCCCCCTTTCCCCAGGTGCCCTAAACTCGAGCTTATATTGTTTGATGGTCAATCCAGCATTGTCTGGAGGAAAGTCTCAATTTTAATTTGGCTAAATATTCACAAAATAATTCACAAAATCACGTTATAATTTTTTAGTACACATGCTCGGATAATTGGTTTTTGAGATGAACTCTACGACGAACGGGTTTTCTATCACTGATGCCGATTGAAAATATGTTCTAATCCTTCCTTCATCTAGTGTACTGACCGAAGGAATGAAACGACAAGTGTCTCAGTGCTAAAAAAATGTCGAGGTTTTTAATACTTACCCGGTGGCTAAGATGTCATCAATATGATGGTTGTTGTTGTTTCTGGGATATTTAGATATCTGTTCTTCAAATTGAAATATTGTTTACTATAATTGTTGTTCACAGACTAATATTTGATTCCGCCGGTCCCATGCTAAAGAAAAACAATATAGGCGTATATAAATTGATGAAAATTACATACTATCGGGCATCGGCAATTTGATTATCTCCCTCTTCATCTCTGAAAATTTGTACATTTGAATAGTTAGAACTTAGATTACCCAATGCAATCAATAAATCTTCAAATGATTACAACGTATTACATGTAACGCTTTTACAACGTGTCAACAAGTCCTAGATTGTTATCATTCGACTTGAAATTACATATTCATCCCGGGGAGGGGAAAGCCGATAAAGCGGCTAAATCATACGGCGAGCCACAGTCACGGTCCGGTTACCAGTCCATGTTGGCTATGGGATTAGTTAGCCAGTTATTTGTTTCGGAAACGTGTACTTGATGGCGGAAGAAGTCGTAACCGACCAGCGGTTACGTCAGCCACTCTACGGCGGGGAGGAGTCCAGCAGCCACGGGTCATACATTTTGGCACGTGTTACCTAAAGTAGTTCAAAAGCCCTTTTTTGCATTTGACTAGAAAATATTATGTACGACTTGTGTTGACTAAAGGACATTGTTGTTAAACGGTCGAAACGTGTTTTTTGCGTTTAATTGCAACGTCTCGTAATTTAATCATGATGTCTCGTAAACTTCGACTCGAGTCCGTGACTCGGATTCTCCTAATCCGATTAACACCAGACCCGTTTCATTCCTATAATTTCCACTCATGAACATCTAAGTATTAAATTGAGTGCTGTGATATTTAATAATTAAAATGTTTATTTATTGTCGATGCTACTTGCAATAACGCGGGGTTCCAAAAATTAAATAATCGTGTAATACTCCTTGAAGAACTGTAGAAATAATATCGTTAAGCACAGCTACGTGCCTCACGATAACCTTGAAGAAATCCAAATATGAGATCAAGTTCAGGCCTGCATAATGTTCTATTCTTCATGATGAAAACGCTGTGACACGAAACGTAACCACTTTTCAATCTTCATGCTGAGGTTAAGCAGGTAAGATTTATTTGCATAACCTGAAATAAGTATATCAGTCATAAACTCATTGTGTGTCTGAAACATAGGCCTACAGCCTTACATTTGGAACTATACAAAAATATGTTCAAATTGGGTCTCAGTTCGAATTCACATTATCTGATACGATAGAAATTTATATAAATTAAGATTGAAATTTAACTATTATAACTAGGAAAATTTTATGACTGTAAATGGCTAAGATAATGCGGAATATCTAACTACAAGTATTGCATATAGCAGAATCGAGTACCAGAAATCGTTTCAGTCGTGACACAAGAACAGAATTTATGTGTTAGGTTCAAAACTACGCAATACTAACCAAGGATTATAAGAATTGCTGTAAAGATGCAACATAAAGTGTTTGTTGATGCAGACATTGTTTAAATATCTCTGGAACCCGTGTCTCTTCTCCATCATGTAAATATTTTTGACCCCTCCTTTCAAAAAGGTTCGCAATCCCTGACATACAGCATATCGTCACGCTAATAACAAAAGTGCGTGAGTCTATTTTATCGATTTTGAGAAAAACATAAAAAACTTCCTGAAGATATTGGTATGCCACTAAGAGTAAGTAATTTCCCTGTGTTCAATTTTTCAATCGTAGCTGGATTGCAATTTATTTGTATCACGCCAGCACGTGACGTCATAATGGCGCACTGCGACTTGCTCGGAAATGTGCCTATGGCTTGATGACATAACGCAATTTTGCAACTTGGTAATATTCTTCAGTCCTGAATACCAAACATTCGAAAAAATACGTATGTAGTTTACAATATCTACGATGTCTAATGCCAAAACAGGTTATCTGTTTGAAAAAAAATTAACTTTTATCCTTGTGAAATATATATTTTATCGATATGACGCGATCTGCACACGCACGGAAAATAAGACTTTCATTAAATATTAAATATAAGGAATAAAATAGCCATGCACCCTAAATAAAGGCAAGTCAATAGGAATTGGACTCAGAGAGTGGCTATCGCAAGTGTCCACTCCCCTATAGTGTAAATTCAAATTTATAAGCAATAATATAGAATTTAAGAAGCAAAAACTCGAAAAATGCTTCGCCGATGTTTATTTCGTCTTTGTGATGCCACAACAGTCTTACGGTAAACAATAATAACATTCCAACTAGAGTGACCAGTGGATCTGCTAATTTGCTTCAGAATATATACACTAGTATAATTTATACTTTATAGAAACACGAATCCAACAGTCTCTGATTGAAAGCCACTTATCTATTTTATGTAATATTTAGTTGGAACATTGCACTCTAATCATGTCCCAAAGTTGGAACTTGGGGTTAATAAGCTTCTCACGTCTGCGTCAAAGTTGAATCCGATTTATATTTATATCAAGCTGACTGACGGTTTTGATAGCTACTTCGCTTAATTTTGTGTAGTCCATGAGTACAATACTCGCTTAGTAGGTAATGTGGGTTGCTTTCCCAACATTACAAGTTCCAGTTTAGCCGCCAAGTTTATAAAAATCGCTAGGCCGGGTGTATTTGTAACAAAATTCTCGATGACATCGCATGTTCCTGCTATAGCAGTTTTAGGATATAAAGCATCTTATTGGACACGTAGTGGACATAGCGATCGTTTCAATATTATGTTGTTGTTGTTATTGTTCTTGTTCTTTGACACGTTTTTAAAAAGTCGCTTTTCTCTTTGATTACTGGACCAATTGCTTTGAAATTTTCAGTGGTTAAAGATAAAAATTTTCTTCAGAAGGCTATTACTTTTTTTGTTGCTATGACGTCATCGAAATTATTGCCTTTAGGTGGCGCTACGTGTCTATATATTTGAGCATATCTCTCTTGTTACTATACCTATTACTACTCGCATCAAACACAATCTTGCCATTTTCCCTTGGGCGCAATGTTCTGCATATCTGGGTTTTATTTCTGAAAAACATATTGGCAGAATTACCTTACGCTAACCAAATACCTCTTATTGTGCTACCTAAATCGCATTGATCAAGACTTCATGCTACAAGCTGAATATGCTAACGTGAATACGCTACTATTAGATAATATTCCCAAAAATCAATGCTTGATTTCATACCATTTTTAAAGCAGATACGAAATAAAAAGAATGAGACTACGTGGGGTGATTTCGTTGTTCTGCTATTCGGTATACTGGTATAGACATTCCTGTGTTGTAATGGTAAAAAAAATTGTTCCATTACATTTGAACTCACGACAATTGCACCTGCATACTATTGCACCTATGGAATTTTTTTGGTTTCACGGATATTTGAACCCATACTAACCTTAACCCATAAGTTTTGGCACCCGCATATAGATCGAACCCGCCGATATACACATGGTTCAAATGTACGGTTACCAAAAATAATCATTCGTTTTAATCCAAATTACAGCAAATACTGACGACGCTAAATCTAAAAAATGGGCAGAGAGTTCAAATGTAGACTAAATTTAAACAAAATCCTGACACTCTCTTTGCTACATCTTAATTCATCCCTGCAGCAAAAATGTCAACGGATACAGGTGTTGTTTACATATCCTATCACCCAATCCCAGTTGCGATAAGATAAGATTTCGATGACTAAATAAACAGGCCCTAATTATAATTGATATTTCGCTTTGTTTATTTTGTCTTTAATCAGCACTATTGTTTTCGTTTAGCCTTGTCTCCACAGTTATACAAGAAATATTGTACATGTGATTAACAGTGGTTGGAAATTCAACCATGCTAGTCAATATTGAGAAATATCGAGTACAGCATAAAATATCAGGATTACAATGCCAAGTTTTTAACATTTAGTTGTTACAATCGCATCAATAAAACTTCAAATTTGAAGGCGGCAAATGAAAAATACGATAGGTGAGTTTAAGATGATTTTCGCAGTTTTTGATTCGTCTCGTTTCTATTCAAGCTATATCAGGAGTGAATCTTTTGTTGGCTGAAGTACCCTTTCTTTTCTAAAACGCAAGATGGTTGACGCTGCGTTATCACATTAAGACATTTAGTGCCACTGTAGAGGGTGTTAAAATCGCGTATGACGATGTTACTTTTCTATGAAATTCTTTCAAATATTTTTTTTGAGATTTAAGACTAGTACCCGTACTAGAGCTGTCATTTGTATGCAATTTTTATGTTGTTTTTACACGGTGAATCAATAATTGAATGTTACAAAAAACGAGGACCACTGCACGCGATGGGTTTAAAATTATTTTATGATTTTTCTGCGTTTTTGTTTATGATTTTGGATGTTGAAGTATTTATAGAAGACATATTTTCATAGTTGTTGTATGTTGTATGATACTTGTTCAATTGAATAGTGAGCTTTATCTTAAAGTCATATATATATATATAATTTGTTAAATTGTTATGAATGATTTATTGAATGAATGAATGAATACTATTGGAGAGTATGCCTGACTGCTTAAACAAGTTTTCATGCGAACGTATGGTCGTTTGAAGTATTAATTCCTCCGACTTAGATAGCCGTTAACAATTTATCTTTTTAAAATTTTCAAAGATAAATTGGTGAATTTACCTAATAATCATAAAGATTATCAATGAATATTCGATAACATCGATCGAGTTTGGGCGTTAAAGAAACAAGACCTCACGGAGTACGATTCATCTAGAAAAGGACTTTCATATTGAAGGATGAAATAAACGATTCATGCTGATGGATTCGTTAAGTATTCTCCTTAAGTATGGAGGGAACGAATAATTTTCCAATCAAAGGTAATGAAAGCATATCCAAACGGGTGAATATTTAATCACCAGTTGTCTTACTTTGTTACATAATATGGGTAGGTCATGAAATACAATATTGATAATGATAAAATGACATTACAGACATTACTGCACATTCATTGTATCATATGAAGATGAAATTATCGTGAAAATACCCGCTGGTCAGTGGTTCGCAATCCCTGAGATAATTGGTTGATATTTAAATATACTTGTTTACGTTCAAAGTTTGATACGCACTCACAACAAAATTTTTTTTCTTGAATGTGTTGATATGTACGGAGTTCGACACGAATTATCTACGTAGACCGTTAGGCTAAATCGTTGTTGTTGCGTTGAGTCTTGTTGTTGGGGAGACTTTCTTCTGGAGGAAATAGCTTTTTTTACAACTGCTGGACCAATTGATTTTAAATTTTCCATCCCAAAGAGAGAAGTCGCCAGAACTTTTGTTATTACTATTATTTACTTTTTTCTTCAAATTGACACTGATTCCTATGGGACCCGATTTACTTACCCCACTGGTTTACTTTTTTATTCCGTCAAGAATTTTTTTCAATTCCGGTCAAGAACCGACAAATGAATGAGAACTTATATATAATTTTTATTTGTAATAAATTTGATACGTGTTTCACTAAATATTGTTTGTTATACACTGACAATTTCATTGCTATTTATATGCCTAATATAAAATATGATTTATATTCACAAATATTGTCTTTTTTTCCATTGTTCCAAAATGGATTTGTAGCATGTTGAAACCAAGATATTCATGTATTCTATATTTCTTCTCAAGTTTATGATGAAAAAGTTCGTCTACGACAAGAAATTCTCTCCCCAGAGCACGGAATGAGAAATCGAAAACGAAACTGACGATACGCCGTATTCTCGCTATATGTCGCGACAGAGTAAAACAAAATATCATAAAAAATGTCACAAAAAGAACATTTTTCTCGTTTTATGGCTTTCGCATTCTCGCAATTTCCCGTTTTTACCTATATGAAACGTCTATTTTCGATACTTAGTCATTGGATTTGTAACATGTTTAAAATAAAATGACTACATATTAAGTTTAATTCAAATCTCTGAATAGCGAAACTTTCATTGCATTGCATTGTCCTTTCATTGCAACATTACTTTTACTACTGCCCTATTTGATGACATCATTTTTTTTATAACTGAGTTTTACTGACCATAACCTGGAAAGTTTAACCAAAATTTTCATCGTCAAATAGATAAATAATATTTGTCCACCATGAAATATATATTATCGTTTGACTATAGATTTCAATATATTAATTCCAGTAGAATTTAGGGTAAACTGAAATTGTGTCACCATATGTAAAACAACGAAGCCTGCTTAATTCAAAATATATTCATGACAAATTTTAAAAATAACATTGAAAGATATTGGACAAGACATGATGTGGACAGCGCAGGATGTGCATTCCAGACAAGACGCTTGAACTTTTAAAAATATGAATAATATGTTTGAGGTTACAATACGTTGATATGCGAAACGGCGACAAAGTTACGTTCAATGCTGGAATTCCGACGCAGAAACACAACGTATTAGTCATTTTAAGAGTTCTATACTATTGACTATATATGGCCCTCAAACGAAGCATGCGTTAATTTAGCATAACGTAAATAAAACTAGAATGAACTTCAGTTACAGACATGAATAAATAAAGTTTAATCCAATTATTTGATGTGAGTCAACGAAATCAAAAGATAATTGTGTGAATCATTGTTATTAGTTAGGCAAATCATTTTTTTTTAAACTTAGGATTTGCACAGCAAATGATCGACAATTTAAAGAAGTTTTTACAAAAACTGCGACGTCTTCGAGGTTGACGTCGAAATGAGCATTTGGGGTCACCGAAAGTGCACAATCTTTAGAGTTGGGAGTGTATATTTTAAAGCTACAGCCATTTCAGTATATATAATATTTGAGGATATCCACCTATGCACTTACCACATTCTCGTCTCCGACGCAAATGGCACATTGTGTCTTCGTTCCCATAATTATTTAACAATTTTTTATCTTTGTTTTTGTCAAGCATTATAGCGTTATAAACTTATTTCATTTATGAGTCTGTGTTTAGAATATATTGAATACATACGTTGATGCCTCGCACCATCTCAATTCCCAACAGTTAATCAGTTTTAATCATAATCAATCTAATTATTTTCCATATTTTTGCATACATAAAAAATTATTTTTTTCCTCGTTTGTTTTTGTTTTTCTTTGTTAACTGCCAAAACATGTGGTTAGGCGAAATCATCGATGTAAAAAATCATATTGAATATTTTAAATGAAAGAATGGCACTTGGCCTACATAGGTATATATATATATTTATATATTATTTTCCGTGCAAGATCTAAACAAAACATCGATCCCCAAAAGAAATATGAAAAATTTGAACATTCATACCCGTACATGTTAATTGTCATTTGTAATCTTTACGGAATTTCCTTTTGTTCTATTGTTCATGCGATTAGAACATGAAATCAAATATTTTATTTTGTACGTATGCTCCTTTCAAAGATAAATGAAACAATTTGAGAAAATCAATACAACGCAATTTGTATCTTTGCTATTGTTACTCAATGTTTACGAAAAGATAAGCTAACTAAATTTTGAAATCATCTCACAAACATAAATATCACCGGATATTTTATCCCACCTATTTTTTGTTCAACATCTTGTTAAGTATACACATTTTATTATTAAGCATGAATCTTTATGCTAAGCTGTTGTTGATGATGTTATTGATTTTAAAAGAGACCAAACTGTTTTATTTTTTTATACTGCAGGGGAACACTTTTATATAGCAATTGTGAAATTAAGTACACATTCTTGAACATTAAATTGGAATTTTGGGATATTTTGTAGAAAGCCCCCACCTCTAATGCAAAATGTGATATTTGGGTGAAACATCCCCGCCACATTTTGGCGCTCGAGAAGTATGTGTACCAATATGGAAGTAGCTAATTTTGTTCGCCTACTTTACATGAAGTTGTGTAAAGGGACGGAAGTCTATGGGCAGGGGGTATATTCACTTGGCAAACACAGACAGTCCCCGAACTCGTAATAAAAATAAAATAAGAAAAATCGGAATAGAATTATGGCCCAACCCTAACCTGGTACACATACTACGGGACTACCTAAGTACTGGAGATTGCGCTGGTAATTCAAATTTTAAAATCATTTCTAACTCTAACCTTAACTGGATAATTAATATTTTTTATTTTGAGCGGTGGTTGGGGCTTTCTACAAAATATCCGAATTTTGCTGACAATGCGGTGGCATACTCATGACTACATTTAATTTTTGTGTTTATATATTAGAGCATTTTTCTCTTGTTTTAGAATATTTGGGAAACCGATAACGCCTAAAAAGGACTTTATTGTACATAGTGTGAACATCTTATCGAATTTTAAATCAAAAATAGGTGAATTTGACAGAACTCATGCACAAAATTGTCGTAACAGCATAGAAACCAGACTATGAAAGAATAAACATAAATAGGAAATATATTTTATAGGATAGGATTTACATGTTTATCCTGGGGACATATTCCTACATACTTATCTATATCATGTTGCTGTATCATGTTGTCACCTACTAACTTATCAAATCCATGATTACACAGGCATTTTTTTGTGAAAAAAGATTTATTTGGAAACTTATAAATTGCTATTTGCTCGTTGAACTGAATATACCTTTCATGTGACTCAACGATAATATAAATCATTATGAAAGTGCTGAAATTTTAATTTATTGTTGGTTGAGTATATGCAATGCGAATATTTAATTTTATTGAAAATGCGTAATATTCTGAATTTTTAGATAGATGTTTCAGATCTAAGACAACTTGGTTTGAAAAGTTTTGATAAATTTGAAATATATGAAGTTTTTACACAGCGTATATTAGTCAATAAACCAAGCATATGCTATACAGCAAGTATGGAATTGCTTTAACGAAATAATATTAAAAATTTAGATATATTTTAGTTTCTTTCATATTTACGCTTGCGATTCCATTTCGTGGTCAATATTTCTTAAAGACAAATATGAGTAAAAACTTCTAATCTAATAATTTTTTATTTAATTTCGAAACCTCATCATTTCATAAAAATATTATCGTTAGTGTACATTTCGTGGCCTGCAGGTTCTTGGTCGGGGAATAGCAACGCTGCCCATATAACTTATAATCTGGTCATGTGAATATCGCGTTTCGTCAAAAACATGAGCCAGCCGTATTCTATCAAGAATGCGTCAAAGATAGTCTGCTACCGTGCAAATTTTCTGACTGATGACGTCGAGATGGTATTTATGATTTCAAATTACAGCGTCAACATGTAGGCATTACAAAATATCGTATCATCGAAACTGTTAGCGGAGAGAGTTAAATTCGTGAATTTTGAAATATATTCTTACTCCATTATGTGCTAGATAATAGGCGGTTTGACGATGACTAAAAATGAATTTATCTCACCCTACATACGCAAATATTCAAACAGTTCAACTAATTCAAAAATTGTCTATGTATCATAAAGTTTTTTTTTTCATATAGCCTACGTGCAATTTATTGCACAATGCGGCCCACAAAATAAAATTTTCAACGGTGGTACGACAAACATAAACAAAACCTGAATTCAAAATTTTAAGAGATTATATTCAAATGAATGTTATGTTTTATTTTTGGTATTTTATGGAAAAACAGTTGATATTACAAAGAAAGAATGCATATTTAACCTATTTAATATATAGAGGGCAAAGAGGGGGCTTAACACTCTATCGGTGGAATACACCTGGTAGAAATATCGAAAAAAATCATGACAGAAACCACTATCATGATATTTCAGTGGGATAAATTAATTGCGTAAACATTCATTTTAGAAATGCATGTTTGTAACGCAAATTATTACGCCCAAATTAGATCGAAGAACAAAGAATCACTTGATATATACGGAATGTAATTTTTTATACCATGTATTTCTGCGGCAATAGGGGCGTGTTTTAAACAAAAATTGATAACAAGGTCAAAATATATTATGCAATTGATTACCAGCCTTGCATATCGCCCACGCCGAGGTTGGGCATTTTGTTGTCACGCATACATTCGGTCCCACACATCGATAGAATCTACTCCTTATATGACATGAGATTGTTTATGAAAATGGCGATAATCTACTTATGAACGAGGTCAATTTTTATGTCGTATATTTGAGAAATTCTTCAAGACGTGTTAAGCAATTTTTTTATAAAATTCTCCAGACAGGCGTTGCACGTTTTTGTTGATGGTCTGATGACGCAAATCTGGATAACGTAAACAGAGTTTGTTCAACTTTCAACAGTTTCCTCATCAAAACTCGCAATAAATATTATTTTATTAAAATTCCACAGCCACAGAAACTTTACGTCAATATTGTTTTATGAATCACAAAGAACGTACTAAGTAATGGATGTGTTTTTGAATTGCAATATCTAGTTGCGTATTTTGGTTGTCAAATCTGCCTGAGGGTATGAACCATCAAATGTCATCATATTTTGTCGTTAATAATAGAATCCATATTAAGAACTTGGAAAATCAATTTTCATCTGAATTTATTAAAAGAATTGATTTGTGATTGTGACGTGTTCGCCAATCATATTCACCGCAACTTCGCATGCACAACCACAACTTATAACCATCGGTGTCGCTAATACGCAAAGCGATAGCAAATCGAAACACGTGACACACATTGTTTATCATTTTTTGTGCGTTACTAAGAAGAAAGTATTTTGCATTTTCTTCCCACGCGCAGGATATCGGAAACTAGAAACTTCTATTCTTAATCTGATGGCGAGACGTCTACGCATATTTTCTATAAAAGACGGCCCTGGCTCTCATCAAAATCAGAAGAATATCTTCACTCATTGGAGTATGATGATTTCTTTGAACATTAATATTCAGAACATGTGAAAAACAAGAGCTTTTTGGCTTTAAAATGCCTTATTGTTTGCATGGAAAAAGTCTGATGTTGTAGAAAAGTTTCATAGTTTTCATACTTTTTTTTTGTAAATTGCGCAGAATTTAAGTAGTCTATTGATTGTTTATTAGGTTTAAATGTTGAACGAAAAATGTATTCTATTGCAACTCCGGAATTGGAATTTACCAAATTAACTTTTTAAATATGTAATTCAATTTAATTTTGGTAATTCCTACTTCGAGATACTGAGCAATTGCACTTCGAGATCCCAATATTTTATATCTTGGTAGAATATATAATTTAAAAATAGTCTAGAAAATTATCAAAAATTTTACACTCGTGGGAGAGTGAAAATTTAATTAAATTTGATATTTCTAAACTATTTCTAATGCGTTACTTATGTAATTTCCACACGTATTTCATTTTACTGTAGCTATTCCAGAAATATAATCAGGAAAAACTTGCAATATGTGAATATGAGAAAATCGTGATATAAATTTTGTTGAATGTATGTAATGGTGGATATTGAATTTGTATATATAAGACACTGCACTAAATGATATTCACATTGGTTGATTAAAGTTTCTGAATTTTTCTTCAATGTTTTTTTAATGTCAAAACTTAGATATAGACGGAAAGCGTACTATCCGTCTCAATGGACCACACTTTAGCCGATATAGATGAATAAAGTTATTTAACTGGGCGTTTAAAATTTATGGTATGAATTAAAATTATATTTTTATTGTTTTAGCTCTTATTGAGTTAAAATTTTATTAGTGACGTTTTTTATGATTTTATTTATTATTTATTTTTTATTCTTAGGATATTGATATTTCAATATCAATTTTAATACAATGCTGTACCATCGTGCGATAAACAGCTTTAGATGTTACTGACAGATAACCAAAGTTTATGAGTCTTAAGACACAATTCTGTGACAGAAATAAAACCACTTATAGTGAGATAAGATAGAAATTCGCGCAATAATCGTGTATTGAGCAAATTATTGAATATTATCTAAAGGTCAAGAAAATAATACTGCTTTCGAATTATTTTCAGCAGTATTTTATTCATCAAACATATACATAATAAGAGCATTTTTAAACTATAAAATGACGTTCAAGAAATTTCTTGTGACACTTTGTATCGTATCAATTTGGGCGTTATCTGCAGAAGGTAAGTGTTCACTGATGTGCATTGTCTTCGGTGTTAAAGTGCGATTTCAACTGTTTTGACGGGAAGAAATTTTGGGATCATGGAGCTATTATATCAAACTGAGTCATATTTGAACTTTTCAACGCAAAAATATTTTTACTAATATTAGTATTTTATAATAGAAGGATTACAATCTTAAGTAGCAAATTTATATATGTGGATTTGTTTATCGTTTATATCAAATACTGTTCACAAAATATCAATAAATTATTGGCATTTTGTACCAACTCACATTTTGTAGAATTTGAAGTTTGTCTATTTGTGCGACTGTAAGAGTTGCTATGACGCAGTTCTTGACAAAAATAGGCTTAAAAATTATTCAAACTAATTTTGCAACATATTTATCGAGCATATTTATACAAAAATATTTCACGACTTTAGTAATTTTTTTGTGTGGTAATGTTTTTTATGTACCTTTGAAATTTTTAGGTTTGAAGTGTTGGACTTGCGAAAACCAGGCAACACCGAGCGACTGTCTCCGAAGTGGAAGTTTGAAGCAATGCAGATATTTGGAAAAAGTGAGATTTTTTTCAGATTTATGGAGATTATTGTTATTTCACCATCTTTGTCAACGTAGTTAATTTTTGTTTAGCAAGTAGTAGTTTTTGGTGCCGTTCATTCTTTGTTTCCTGTTTATTAAATATTTTCATTTTCACGTATTGCAGCAGTAAATATTTTTGATTTGTCAGAAATCTACAGTACATGGGGCACTTGACTAAAAAATGTAACAGACTTTGACCTCACAGACAAACCGCAAGTGATAATAAAACTTTGGTCAATATAAAAAATATTTACTATATAGTCAATCAATTGGTGAGTCTCGAGAGTGGCGAGATGAGAACAATAGACGATATAAAAATTGTTTGCCGTGGATTTTTGTAGTGTAATTAGTCATGATAATCCTATGAACATATGACATGTTTAAGCTATCAGTATCCTTATTTGTTATTGTCCATGGAATAGTTTTTCAATATTTGCCATGTTTTGTCACTGAATCGACTCAGTTTTTTATATCGGATCAATGGCGCCACTCATTGTTGTTGGTATTTTTTTTTAGTCCTGTCAAACACTGGTTCGAGTTTCCGAAGGAACCAAAACCTACATTTCTACTGGCTGCAAAGAAGCTGATGCTTGTGGACGAAATGAAGAACAGGTACGATTTGACGCATATGCTTAATCAAAAAATTTTCGAAAAGTGTGATAAGGGCGTGGATCCATAGTTTATTTTTTTTATTACTTCGAAATGTGATGCGGTTTTTATTCCCACGCGAATCTGAAATTTAAGAACTGACATTCATGACCAAAACCCTATAAACGAATAAACAAGTTACACCATACCACGAACTTGCGCATATCAAATATTACATTACACTAGAAAATTAATTTTTGGGTAAAAAAATTGAATTTGATACTTGACTATGTCTTTGTTTGTGTGGATTCAATCGTTTTATGGAGGGTACAAAAAAGGGGAATAGGCGTCAGTTGACAAAGAATGTGACTGATAAACTGCTTCACGCGAGTAATATCCAGATAATAAAATAGTGATGTTTTCCTTGTGATATACCGAAAGCTGTTTTGAATTTCACACCAACTTATATTTGCATGTGTGTGCACAAATGTGATCTTACCGAATCTTTAATTGAAACAATAATTTCATTCTCCAATCACGATAAAATTATAAAGTACTGGTTATTAGCAACTGTAAGTTTTATTACAGTTTAAAATTTTAATTATTGTCTTTATAACATGGAAGCAAACTTCGTTGACCTTAAGATCAACCAGGTTGCTATGACGAAAAATATACTTATTCAGATTCACTTAGTAGTACTTAATTTTGAATGACTCTCAAGATAATAATTATCAACCACTTGAAAAGATAATACGCCCACTAGGGATTATGATACATAACCGCAAACAATTGTTTTTCTGAAGTCATTACAATAATGGAAGAAAGTTCTTAATCCGAAAACATTTCCGGTGATTTTAATTTCGAAAGAATTGTCTTAAAATTTCATTGTTCACTTTCGTTTGATAGATATATTAATCATTCTATACCGCGGGTGGGTAGAGATATAAAATACATCACAGTTTTGAAACACGAAACTACTACAAATATTTCTCTTGATTTTATTCGTAACCGTGTTTTTTCAATAGTTATATTTTACCCTTCCAGAATCCAAGACGTGCCTGGACTCCGACACAATGTAATGGCAATACTATGAATTCTGTATGTCGTTGTTGCTGTGGAACCGACAGATGTAACAGAAATAATCTTTTGTGTCAACCAAAAAGAGGAGGTACGTTTATCAGTATTTTGACTTTTGTATTTTAACGTAGACGAGTTTAAAGACTAACCATATTATTTTTTATTTACGCAGATGCTCCTGCAACTATCAGAGATGCAACGCCGACACCTCTTGAACGTGAGTGAATTTTTTTTATTGTTTTTTTGATAGATTGTCATAACGATCTCACTGGAAAATATTTTTATTCCCCACAATTCTACGATTGAACGTCATACTAAGTTATTTATATATATCCACTTCACTTATTTACAGCGGTGACATGTCGACGAGTCCTGGGTACGCCAGCTAACGGCAAGAAAGTCTGTGTCGGTGAAAAAGATATCGGTGCAACTTGCAAGTTTACTTGTAACGATGGATTTGAGTTAATTGGTTCTCAAAAATCACGCTGCGTTTTGAAGCGGCCAAAAGCAAAATTTGCGAGATGGACATATAAAGCCCCAACGTGTGAAAAAGAACGTAAGTAAAAACTATTTCATAAAAAATTATTGATCCCACGTTTCATTATTTTTACAGTATACTTACTATTATATTTCTCCCGATAAGTAAGATTTCGTATACAATGAGTTTCTATGCATTTTCAGCTTTATGTGATGATGTTCCAACACTGTCATATGGGAGGGTGGAATGTGACGCTGGAAGAAAAATAGGATCTCAATGCAGATTCTTTTGCAGCGGTGATCACGAGATGAGGGGACCATCGACTGTGACTTGCGAAAGAAAAGGAAATGTTGCAAAATGGAACGAAGAATCTCCTCTTTGCATTGGTGAGTTAAGGTTTCAGTAAATCAGTAAATGGTTTGAAACAGTACAATTGCTATAACGCTATGGTTTGTGCCCATATCACCAGCACTCAATTAATACTTTCAATTTCAGCCCCTGAACCTTCTTGCAAAGACCTCGGCAATTTACCGCACGGCGAAATTGTGTGCACGCGAGAGGATAACAAAGTCGGAACAATTTGTGGATTTCGTTGCATAGACGATGGCTACGATCTTTTATCTACCACTGACGCTATAGAATGCGTTATAGATGCCGCGGGAAAAGCAAAATGGAGCCACAGGAAACCATGCTGTACATGTAAGAATTTTTTAATGTATTGCTGTCACAAACATTTACCAGAGTTAAAAATAGAGTATATGAAAATGACCATCCTTTGTACCAGCCTGTTGTTTATGTCTAATTATGGACAAAGTTTACATCTATACGATTGAAAAACGGCCATGGAATGCTAATCCGATAAAGAATAATATCGTTCACAACCATACGTCAGCGTTACTAGAATTTGAAAGCAACAATGAATATAATCCATTCGAAATATTTATCAACAAAATAAAGTTTCAGCAGGTGGAATGTGTTTACCAAAAATAAAACAATGCTCGAGATCATAAATTTGCTTTATTTTTTCACAGCTCAATGTCCACCAATGGCGAAAAAAGATGTTGTGATTGTTATGGATTCCTCTAATTCAATTAGTAATAGAGAATGGAAAATTATGAAAAGTTTTGTTGCGAATATTACTGGGTATGATATATAAATTTGCAGTTTATATTGGAAAATACTTATTTTTTGTCAATGGATGTGTATGATGAAAGTATAAACAAAGTTTCATAATAAAATATTACATGTATCACATTAAGAGGTATTCTCGTGCTAATAAAACGTTTATTGTTTTACAGAAAATTTGAAGTTTCCGAAGATGGTGTTCAGTTTGCCGTTTATCGATTTAATAGAAAAGTTGACGAAGAATCTCAAATTTTATTTGGTGATTATACAAACGACGCTGACGGACTAAAACAAGCTGTTATAGACATGCCAAAACGAGGTGGAGGTCAGTATCAAATCAATTCTTTGAAATCCAATTAAAACTTAACCGCTTCTTTCGCGCTTCATATTTTTAACTTTTGATCAAAGTGAACATCTTATCATAGATATTTAAATCATATTCGAATCGCATTTTATTTAAGAGGAAGATCCATACAGTTCTTTCCTATTTGCTTAAAGCTCATTTATACTCACACTTGTAAACAAATGAGTTAATTGCCAACTTGCTTCATTTAATTTTAGGTACTTTCATTGGCCGCGCCCTGAAGCATGCTAAGAATCACGTTTTAACGACAAATAACAGAAAAGATGTTGAAGACTTGGTCTGGGTATTAACTGATGGCCGATCTGACGACAAACTTGACGTTGTCAGCAAAGAGTTGAGAGATTCAGGCGTTGAGGTGAGATCAATAAGTCAATGAAACCATTGTTTCTAGTGTTTGTCTTTTAACCTTCTTGCGCATCAGAAGATCTGCATTTTCGACCTCTCAAAATAGCCAGCATTAATGAGCACATTTTGATCGTGACTTTTCACTTGTAATCTCAGAAATATACAATATTCAATTAGAACCATTTTTTATCATTTACAAAAATAAATCAACGACAATGTTTTTCAGATAATGGCTCTTGGAATTTCACGACAAGACAAACCAGTGGACATAAAACAGTTGATCAATATGGCCGGTCATTCAGACAACGTTTTGGAAGTGAAAAACGGAATGAAAAGTCTGACTGACAACTTGTCACACAGAATCGTCAAAAAAATCTGCCAATTCTCTTGCCCTGCTGAGTAAACACTTGTTACACAGTGATGTCGAATATGCGGAGTATTTTTATGCCCGAGTTTCAAAAGGCCTTTAAAGTTGAAATCAAATTTGTTTGTGCGATTATTATTTTGTATATATATATATTTAAGTTGAAACAAAACTAGTCAGGAATGGTTTTATGTGAAATATTCGCGGCATAAATAGACCGCGATTCGAAAGAGTGATTTTCTGCTGCTGTATTCAAAATAGCCAGTGGATTATTTTTCGTGGAAAATCATCTATTGCGCTATAGTTAAAGTTATCATGTTGTATGATACACCAATTGCTTTCTGAGGTGCTTCACTTCCTGTTATCATTGCTATTTTTATATAGAAATTAATTTCAGCTGTTTTATACCTTTACATTTTTATTTACCATTTAATATAATCATGAGCAAACGCGTTTAAAAGTAACTAATGATGGCGTGATGTCTCCGATAAGACAATTCTGTTTTTTTCAAAAGTTATTCTAGCATATATGTCAAATTTAAACCAGTTAAAAATTATTCTAATTTATTCAAGTTACGTCGTATGTATGCTTTATTGACTATTGCTTTTGTATAATATAATTTTATTCATCTTCAATACAATATATTTGAAATAAATATTAGTACATTCATTTCACAAAAGAGGTTTAGGCAAAAGCATTGTTGGATAATACTTCACAGACATATATTTGTACCGTTGAAAGCAACGCAAAACATACGGATGAATTAGTTCCTTGGATCAATTAGTTGCGGGAGCATTATTAATGTCTTCCAACTAATAAAATCAATTCAATCATTCCCTGGAAATAAACTGAATCTTTGAAACATGCAAGGTTCTATTGGTTTAAAAATTAATTCGTCTTCTTCCACAATTACACATGAAGATATCATAACTAACATAAAGTAGTATGGCCATATATAAAGAAATTATGTTTGTTGGTATTGAGTTTATGTGATCGTCCATACGAAACCTCTTACAATACTTATTATTATATCGTTTTCAAAGATGCTAGTAAATTCTCACGGAATTACGTTCAATAAAACGATGATTTTTGCGGCAGGCTTTCTAGGATATACGAATGATGTGTCAGACATGATGAAGAACAATCGCTTCCAAAACCTTAATAGTCAATGGAACTAGAATGAATTTATATCTAACGATGAGGTTGCATGACGTATCGATTTGTGCAGTAAAAGATTTGCATTAAATTCATACTTTGTTTCGTGATATTTGATGTGAAATATCATTTGTTCAGCATTTTTGTCGGATTCGTGGGTACAGTTCACTGCCGTTGACTACCTCTGTGAAGCTAGTAGAAATTTGACCTTGTAGTGCGGCGGAGCGAAAAGGTCAAAAATCTTGGCAGAAATATAAGAGTGACAGTATTCTTGAGACAGTGCATGAAAATCACAAAAAAGAAATATTCATCAATTTCAGTAATTCCAAATATAGGATACAAAAAATGTTTAATATAAAAAAAAAACAATAAAACCATATTTAGGTTACTTCACCAACATAGCAGATTAGTACTTTAAAAAAGAAATTCTCTCACAAAACAAAATACAATGAGTAGAATATGTATATATGGCAAGATGTCACATGTATCGTGGAAAAAAACTAATGGATTATGAACATTATATTCCAGAAAATTTGTCACACAACTCGAACCTAAGCCCTAATTCTAATAGAACATATAATTTTGGGCACTCCCCTATTGAATTCGGTAAGATGAAAAAAGCTGAATTTATCAATTTTGAAATATTAACAGCATGTTCCTACGCACAAGAGGCTGGGATTTTATTATATATATATATAATATCAAATGGGATACTTGAAATTTGTCACACACCTTGAACCTAAAACTATTCGAATTTAGAAATTGGTGTACTCCCCTGTTGAAGATGCCACTATTTATCAAAATTACGTATACCGATAAAGAATTGAATTTTGCAGTTTTCAAAGATTAATACCATGTCCTTCCGCATAAGAGATAAGCGATTTTATTATTTCTTATCAATGTGGAATACAGGAAGTTTGTCGTACACGTTGAACCTAAAACTACCCGAACTTAGAAATTGGAGCAGCCCCCTGTAGAAGATGCCAAAAGATTTAAGTTTTGCATTTTGCGGAGATTAATAGCATGTCCTCCGCACAGAAGGGACGCGATATTGTTATTTCATATCAAAGTGGAATACATGAGGTTTGTCGCACACCTCGAACTTGAAACTACTAGAACTTAGATTTTGGGGGGTGTTAATTTAAAAAAGTGTCTGGAATGGATTACATCTACAAGTGCGTGACGACGGTCCTTGACCGCCCCACTATCCTATTTAAATAAAATAGGCACGAGAGGACGTCGGCAGCAGGAGGTTGGATGGCCATGGAGGTGGATGAATCTATAGCAGATCAATCAGTTCTATCGATTGTTGATGCAGACCATCAAATAAAGGCGGTGTCGATTTGTTGGACACCTATTTCGTGAAAACGATAGCATTGAACGGCACACTCGGAGACTCAAACTGAAGGTAGGAAAGCTGGTGCTCCAGAAGTATGTATACCAATATGGAGGTAACTAATGCCGTGATTTTGTCAATCAGCGTTTTAAGTATTATAATCCTGAATCTCCTTCACACCACAATGTGAGGTTAGTGTAAAAGTTCGATATATGTATTAATTCAAATGAATATTCAAAATAATCACATTTTACTATATAAAAACAATAAATTAAACTACGCTGCAGCTGACAACCAAAAGCGAGTACTATTGCGAGCCTGATGGACGTGTTCGAAAAACATTGAAATAGAATCAAAGGTTGATCTCAAACAATTTACCATGGAAATGATTTCCTGGAGGCTTTCAATACAACGGATGCAAGTCTTTCTCCAACACTAAGGAGGTCAGATGGAACACATTATAGAGAAAACATTACTTCCGTACGCTGCGTCTTCGAAATGGGTTCATCAAATGCATGCAATGCAGGGCCCAATTGTAGTGACAATAGCAGAAAAGTGCAGTTATTAAAGTTTCCAGCAGATGCCGAGAGAAAGAAAAAATGAGAGATGAATTGTAGGCGGGGTGGAGGCTGGAAATCCGCCCCAGGTACTTCTTTGTGCGAGGATAGTCAAGTGGTCAGGTTACACTGATAACAGGAAAGAAGAGCTGTACACAGTTTCAGGATGAGGTCACGTTTAATTATACCACCCCACCTCATTTAAGACAGCTCTGACCCAAGAAAAGTTATCTCAACTGTTGGGATTGTCCAAACAAATGAGTCAGATTAGGAAAACTGTTTTCAAGCCATCCAAAGTTAGAGCGGAGTGCTTTTAATGTGTTGGATTCATTTCCTCCGTGGGCACAGCAGTATTATAGGTATCAAGAGCAATGTGAGTAGGCAGTTGAAAGCCCCCAGGAGAGATGATGTTTAAATTATTAAATTTGGTTTGTGTTTTTATTGCGTTATCCTTTAATAACAAGAGAGCATATGCGTTAACTTACCAGCACCTGATTCGGGAACATTAAATAACGGTACATGGACTGTCATAGTTTTTCAATGTCCCGTGGCAATAATCTATTCTTCTCCATTCAATCTCAACATGAATTGAAATACCAAGTGATCCGAGTCACTTCTTCATTACCAGGGCAAATAAAAATCGATTCCCCAATATTCATATGAGGCACTTACAGTACGTTAACTTACTAGTACCTGTAAGGCCACATGCCCTACCTGGTCAGATAGACCGATACACGGATTTCCCAGATCCTGCAACGATTCCGTTTCAACGTGAATACCAACTTTCGCAAAACACGGAAATCACCGACGTTCAAAAATCATAGCTTTTCCGGGTACCACAGTCTACCGTCCCAATAAAAAAACTTTCCATTCCGACTATCGCTAAACACGGGAACCATCGACGTTCGATAGTGAGCACGTGATCCGCTGATATGCGTTCGCGGAACCGCCACATGGTGGCAATTTTGATGACGTCATAACGCACAAAAAACGAATCCCATACAGCTTACCGATATATTTGAAATAAATTAAAGTAATAGCCTTCTAGCGAAAAATTCAATCTTCAAGCACTGAAAATTTTAAAGGTCCAGTACTGAAAGAGAAAGGCGTTTTTTTCTGTGACGGAGAACAACAACATAATATTAAAACGATCCATAGGTCCACTTACGTTTCCAAAAATAAAGCTATCAGTCCTGTTTCCAGAACCTTTCGTATACTACCTAGTGTTATTATTTACATACTGATATTATTTACCAGGCAATCGATCTACATCTGGTCTACAGCGCCCAGTAGCGAGAAAAAATAAGAAAATCATAACAGCTGACATGAAATATTTAAATCAGCGTCGATTTTTCTGCCAATTTTAATAAAACTATTTCTTCGCTTACAGGTATCACATGATCTTGTCAAATCTTGGAGGATGGAAGCGGGAATATTTTTTATATTGATAATATTTAGTTATTTTGTTTTTGAAGGAAAACTATAAAGATGATTGCTAATGTCACTTTTTAGCATACGGCACGTTTCCGTTGATCATTGTATAGCTTGACTTAGCATATATCTGAAGCAAAACAACGGGACAGAGCGGATTGAACAAGTCAACCTTGGTTCGATTCGACTTGCACAGTGGAGTTTCAAATAGACATTTTTTGTTTCTATCAAACATTTTGTAGACGGAAATACTGATTTTGTAGTGAAAATTTGATCTAATTTTTTCAATGATACAGTTCCTCTTTTACTTCGCCGCTCTTTTCGTTCGACTTTCGCTGCTACATCCCTCTCTAAGATTTAAATCTTCACGATACTCACATCACGTAATTTTGCCATTAGGTCGTAAAAAAGCCTTTTTTTCTTGGGTTATACTCAAAATATAGATCCCAACCTTCACGATGATGAATACATATAAACGCCAATCTGAAAACACATGACATCACCCAAATGTAACGATGTACCGCAAATAAGTGAACAAGGTAAATTTGTTATGTTTACTACTGCCGTCCAGTATCGAATTCTGGAGCCAGACTGGAATTTGAGGCCAAACTTCATTTTTCATTGTTTTCACATTACAAATTTATGTTAAGGGTTTCACGCACATGTATATTTCTCAATAGCGATGCCAACCGCTATAATTGGGTTCATTCAAAGGGATGCACAACTTTTAGAGAAATTCATCAAAGGTGGTCTAGTAAAAAGCGTTATAGTCACTTGTTTTGCTGGGTTAAATTGATTTATACTTTCATATTTGCTTTCTCAGTGCGTAACGTCTGAATCCGAATCGACTATATAATTAATATATTAATTAATAAATTTTTGTTTCGGCTTAAAAATTGAAATGATGCTCCTGATCCGCTGTTCTAATGATCCTCGGCCCTTACAGAATAAATGCTGCTGAAAATACCCCCTATTTTTATGCATATAAACGATATAACAGGTAGTAGTATGAATTAGAATTAATTCATTTTAAACTGATTACAGATAAAATATCATTACTTAAGGAAATAACTGTTGTTTAAAGTGTGTACATGGTTGAACATTAATAATTACTGGTACGGTACAGAAGTACAGGTATAATAGAAAATATAAATGACAACTGTGGCAAAATAGTAC